TTTACGGTGACTGATACAGATCGTTCATTAGCATAAAATACAGAAAGAACTTAACTATGCTAATGTTAAAGTCATTTTAAAAAAATATAATTTTCCATTAACATGTACTGATTATGTATTGGTTCTTCATAAAATAATGAATTCACAAATAGTTAATTTGCATGATCTAAAGGTTGTTACAACAAATTTGACGACATGTAAGAATTACGGTCATATATCGTATATTTCAAGATGTCTTCAAGATTGTGACGCTAGAATGGCATTGGACTATTTTAAAAAATTATCAACTTCTGACAAAAAAATCTTGTTAAAATCTGTCATGTCTAAATATGAACAAATAATTAATAAGAAAATGAATACAATTATCGAAAAGAATTATTTGGACTTTCTTAAGGGAACTCAAATGTTGAATTTCAGTCAAATAAAAAATATTGAAACATTGTATTACCTAAAAAAATATATAAAATATCTTTAAATTTGAATAAATTATATGTTGAGAATTGTTGCATTAAAAAACAAATTCATGGTTTATTAAATCTGGAGAAACCACCACTTCAGGACAATGTGGTTGCTGCTTAACGCAATTAATATATACTAATCAATCACACTATTCCATGCTGATGGGACAATTACGCAAAATTTCCACACCAAACCACTCAGCACGAAAGTTTGTTGAGAGTCTTCTTAATACATTCTTTAAATGCAATGATAATAATTTGTTCTTTGCAACTTTTGTTTCGCTATTATCTGATTTTAAGGATGGCGACAATTCTTTACTCTTACTTGATGCGAATGAAATATTGATAGAATTATTAATCAACTGTGCTGAAGAAAATTTGCACTATATTGCTGAAAAATATTCCATTATAAATGCATTAATAAATGCCAATATTATTCAAAGAAATCTATCTATTGTCTGGAAGTTCCATTATATATTTTTACCTATGTCATCAGTTGCCGGTGTTAATGATTTAATAAACTTTTATAAGTTACTAACTCCTAAACATACTGATATAATATCTCATTCTTCTGAAAGGTGTGATTTTATACCATTTACTATGATGTCGAGTATTATGGTAAATGCAGTACATTCGGGTCAACCGTTATGTAATTATTACTTTGAAAAAAGGGACAAGATAGCACAAAAAAATTTAATTAAAATTTTGAGTTCTAAAAACTATGATGAAGTTCTATTAACAGCTTTATTGGTTATTTTGAGCAAGTACAAAGGAAATAAAAAATCAAAGAATGTGGATTTTAGAAATCTTGCAAGGACAAAATGAGTCTTTGTCTCCTGCTGTTACGAATTATCTTATGATGCCTTTAATACGACGTGCATTTCTATTTGATTCTAGTTTGAGTGGAAACTCAATATCCTGTTCACCTCAATACATGTTAAAAAGTAAATTTAATATCAACTTGGCTGAATTTGCTCTTCCTGATAGTAATGAAGAAACGTGGGATGTTAAGGTTATATTATTTCATGTGCTAAGAGAAAATCCAGATACTTGTTATAGCAGGCTTTTTGATTTGTGCCGAACATTGAATTTATCTGTAGATGATGGATTATCTTTACAATTGATAGCTCTTCTCACAACTTGGGAATTAAAGTATAAGGTAATTAACGATGATTTAGATTGTCCCCATTTACATTTTGACAACAATCAAAGGAAATAACTACTAAATGTTCAGTGATATGGGAAAATATTGATCATAAAGACTTTTTAAGAGATATTTTAAATGATTTTTGGAAAAATGGTGAAGTTACTATACATGGCAGATTGATTTCTATAAATCCTTATTATTACGAAATATACATTTGTATATACTACTTGATATTTGGTTCATCAATGGAATTACGAAATAAACGAGAATACTTTTTACTTAACTTTCTAAAAGGTTATAGAAGATCAAGTGCACCCAAACAATATGAATTTGAATTATTTTCTGTAAAAGGTATATTTCCGCAAATCGGTTACTATCGCCTACCATTTCATTTATTTCTGCGTGACGATATGTGGTCTAATTTAAAATCCGAAATTACGCTTGAAACATATGAACGGTGGATACCTAATGTCGGATTGTTGTCGCTTGATCCTGACTTTCAAATTGCGAAAGATATGATATGCAGCAATGCTTTGAAACAAACCATGACTACAAGAAAATCTGATGATGTCACTAATATCCATACAAAAGAGAGTGAACCATGGCGGCTTTCTAGTCGACAAGAACCATTACTTCGTGCTGCACATCGATGTGTAAGTCATATTGCTAATATGGAATGGGCTGGTGCCTGTCTTTTTTATGTTCTTCAGGGCTGTGCTCGTGGTGCCGACCAGGTAGCGGCAGCTCAATTATGTTATCAATTTGCTGAAAAATGGGCAGCATTACAGCCAGGTGTTAGGGCAGTTCGACAAATGGAACGCTTGCATTCTACTTTATCAACCCGTCATGCTTTACATAAAATAGAATGGAATTGTGATGAATTTGTTCGTCTTTCGACAGAACCCGCTCAACTCATTCGTGCTATGTATTTGCATCCTAATTTTGTTGAAAAAATGAGCCGACATGATGTTAATCGAGCAGCAAATGAAATCGCAGATAAAAATGCTATTAATATTAGTTCAATTAGAATTCAAATTTTAGAAAATATTCTCGAGAAGTCGAATAATGAAAATAAACATAAACTATTTTTAGGCTTGAATACTAAAGAATTAATGACTGCAAAATATATATTAAAAGCCACTTGCCCAAAAATGGGGGCCATCTATTTATCTCGAATTGCATTTGATGATGAAAGTGATTTTAATAAATGTAAAAAACTTCGAGCACTACAATGTTTAATGAGTGTAATAGACACTGACGCTGCTGTAAAAGTAACAAATAGAGACCGCGATTCTTTGTGGTCATCGCTTTTAGAATTAATAAGCATAGTCAATTTAGAGAATATTGATATGCCTTGGGTTATCGCCACATTTATGCAAGACAAAATAAGTGCATTGGATCAATTATTACAATCGTCAGGGATAAATGTTGAGGCTTTAAAAATAGCATCAGATATCGCTCGTCGATTTGGCAACAAACAGACTATTCGTAATATTGTACCATTTATGTTACGTGCTGGTTTATATGAAGAAATGATACCTTTATTACTTAAAGTATCGTCACCACTTAACGATATATTGTGTACTGCTTGGCGTGCAGTCATATTATCTCCATTTCAACGTGCTGATTATCCGATTACAGAAAATCAAAAGAGAAAATGTCTAAATGCTATAAATTTATTACCGGTTTGTCCAGTGATTAAAGACGAAGATTTGAAAGAAATTTGGAAAAATTGTATAAGATGCAAGTGTTTTGGCATAGGTTGTCTTGTTTTACCATACATGACTTTCGAGATGAGACAAACGTTACCGGAATTGAAAAAAATCGATAAAAGAAATCTCATAGTCAGTCTCAAAAACCTACATGCTGAAACATTTCTTGTGTCTGGTGCTATGTTTGTTATTGAAAGTATGGGATCTAAAGTTTGCCGATAGTTTAATTAGAAGTTCATTCATCATTCATAATTTAAGTGTTACGCTCTTGTCGGTGGAGCAATTAGAACTACATAGTTATAAATATTATGTAGATATAATAAGTCGCAATATTACTGAATGTATAAAATCGAACATTTAATAAATCTGTGTTGGTTACTAACAGTATTGAATTATATTATTTTCCAAATACAATCGTACTATTATACTGTACTACTTCTTCTTCCTGCTAATATAATAAAGGCGAAAGTTTGTTTGTATGGATGAATATACAGATTGTGAGTTGAAAGGGGATGTTGTCTGATGTAATGTGGACTGATAATTTTATTGCTAGTAATGTATCATGCCAGGTTGACCTCTACGCGCTCGTCCTCCATCCTCCTGGGAACTATCGTGATAATTTTTTGGTTAATTTGTCACGATGGGCTAATTGATCTGACCTCATGCTCATCTTATCCTCCACTGGTGCCCTGCCAGCGTAAACCGTCAGTGTAGGCGGGTGCATTACTCCATTATCATCTATAATATATATATAGCCCAACAACCCACGACGGCCAAACATACGTCTTATTAGTAAATGTGAAAGTTCTTGTATGTGTGTCCCCAACACAGAACGATCCCCACACATGAAACCTGGATCGTGGTTCCTTTGGCAGGTTTCAAAAATTCCATTTTTCCACATATTGTTCGTAACAGTATATACTTAACGTTATTTTATTAAAGCTGAAGTTTATATATATTATTCAGATAACTATTAAACTGCGTTTCCTTTATTACCAGACAGTTTTGTTGGTTCTATCATGCTACCATACGCATAGAATGCGTATATTGGGTAACAACGGTGTACATAAATTAATATTAAATTCGTTAATTTATTCACATATTGCTCGTAACAGTATTATAACTTGCGCTGCTCATTGCCAGACACTTAGTATGTATGTAATAATACATGAAGCAGAAACTTGTTCGAACCATTGCGTAGTGCAACCACACCTTAGTTTATATAGTGAAGTAGTGCAGGATGCTAATATTATAGTTATTTGAGTAAGAAAATAAATCTGACATAGATATCAGAGCAGAGACCAGCACCAGTCCTTACAAGAATCATCCGATCAGATATAATTAAAATACGTGACTACATTAATATTTCCTGTACATCGTCAAATTACTAATATACATTGAGTAAGCACTCATTGTTAGTGTGAAAGACATAAAACTGTAAAAAGTATGTATATGCGTATTATATTATATTTTTTAAACTACGATGGTGGCAAACAAGCATATGGCTCATTTGATGGTAAACGGTTAATGCAGTCTATGGACACCGGAGAAATCAGGGGTGCGTGTTACCGTCTCATAAGAAACCTTAAACTCTCTTAACAAACCCAATGCTGTAATCTTTCGAGAAAACCTCGGCAGGTAGTTCATTCCACAATGTAAGTATACACAGGAGGAAGCTCCTCTGAAATCTTACGATAGATACTAAACAATTCTCTGTCGATAGCGAGCGGCGCGATGGTATGATGAAAGGTAGATTTAGGCATTATATATACAATTGAATTACTAATATGATTAAATTTACATGAAATGCAATCCAAAAAGTATAATGCAACACTAAATATTTATTTTAATTGCACATGGTAATGTTGACAAGACATTAGATGTCACTTTGAGAAGCGCGATTGACGTTTCTTTGTTTACGTTTTTGGTCTCGAATGAATATAGGAATATCTTTCAAATCTTTAAAAATATTGTAAACTATAAAAGTATAATAAACTATAAATACAGTAATTTAGTTTATATTAGAATTAACAGAATCTGTTGGAAAATGTCTGATTTTGATGAAAATGATTTCGATAGTTTAAGAGATATTCATGATATTCACGATGAAATTGAGAAATACAAAAGGAACCCTGAAACTTCTGGAATGTTTGTTTCTGGCTGGGATGATGCCGATCAAGACGTTGATTTGGTCAAGGATCCGAAAGGTAATTTTACCATTATTTGCCCCATCACGGGCAATGCAACCTCTATTCGGTCCCGCTGGAACCTATCGTGACTTTATCACGGTGCTAATTTCCTAATGTTATCTTCATCCAGTAACAGAGACAGGACTGTCTTTTTAGACACTAAAATAGCGGTTATATGTTATGAAAGTCAGAATCAATTTTTTCCTATTTACCTGCTATGGAGGAACATGAGGTAGTTATTGTTCTCTATGCATTTGAGAAATAATGTTAGTTCTGTAATGACAGTTTCCTATTTTAATATTTCAATTCCTATTTTACATATAATACATGTTTTGTATGTGTGTTACATCTTCATTAAAAGTATTGTAGTCCTGAATATCATTATTTATATTGCTGAAAATTAAACCTTTGGATGATAAAGCAATATACTGAACTATATAACCATCATAAAGTACTTATATCATATCATACTACTGATAATAAATAAAAAAAAGTAATTGCATAAAAAGGGTAATTATATTTCTTTCTAGTAAACAGTGGTTTTATTTTGTTCATAAAATTACAATTTTGTTATTTTGTTTTGTAGCCAATCCAGTAGACCATGTATTATGGGCCGCCGAAAATGGTGAACATGACACTCTGACAGACATATTAACATCTCAACCAGGACTAGTGTTTGTGCAAGATTCTGATGGTTATTCCCCTTCATCGGGCTGCTTATGGTAACCATTTAGCTTGCATATGTTACTTACTCAGTGCAGGAGCTAGAGTGACTTCTACAACTGAACATGGATGGACTCCTTTACATTCTGCATGTAATTGGAATAATTATAAAGCTGCTGCAAGGCTACTGGCTGCTGGGGCAGATCCTACTGCTCTGTCTGAAGGAGGTAATATTCCCTATTACTAAATTTGAATATTCATTTTTATTTGTAATGTTAAAAATAGACTAGATGACCACAAAGGTACAAGCAAATTGTATATGAATTAAGAAAGGTGTTAATTTTCACATGGAGCCTGATTTTATTTACTTTCTTAGAAAGGGTAATAGAAGATATCTTAATTTACGGTTTGCCTAAAAAACTGTGTGTATAGATATCGCAGTCTTACCAATTTCAGCTGTTAAGTACCTTTCTTTATAAGCTTTGTTTCTGTTGTAGAGTGTGATTAAGCAGTGAATAACTGAGTGGGCAGTTACCAGTGGCAAGGCATGTGCCATTATTTATTAAAAATCGGTAATAATCATATATGCATGTATAATTCCTAAAGAATCTAATGATATATAACAAAAGAAGTATCGAATTAATATAAATGTTTAAAAAGAATGAGCTGCCAGCCATGAATGTCACTCAGTAATAACATGTCTGTAGTAAGTCATAAGGATTAAAAAAAAGATATGGTGAAGCATGGCACAGAAAAGTTTGGGAAACATTTTACTTGTGTATTACTGTAGTATTTGATTAACTGATATTTGATAAATAAATTTACCTTATCTCATTTTAATAACTCCATCTGCATGCGTTGCATTTTACCTGTTTTTTTTTTAATAAAGAAGTTTATCTGATTTTAAATTTACTGGAGATATATACATAAACATTCCAAATGGTCGTAAAAAGTACAATATCAGAATTAATAAATTTGTTTTTAGGCCAGACACCACTGCACTTAGCAGCAGCGATTAGTCATTGCAAATCAACATTACTAATTTTGATGCTTCGTGATGATATAGTTGATGTAGCTAAGACACGAAATAAGTCTAATGAAAGACCAGAACAGTTGGCGTTAGGTCATGGAATATATGCACCATTATTTGAAATGGCATTACCAGCAGCATCATACATCCGGTCCCCAGCTTTTACATATAATCCTTATGTTAGAGAACAAATAAAATAAAAAAATTTGTTAAACAAATTAGTAATTTTATTTATTGCTTGGACTTTGTCCGCGTGGAATTTTGCATCATTACTTTACTTTTCTAATATAAAAGTAGTCTAAATTACTCCTTATTACATCAGTTACCAGCCAATAAGTCTCGTAAAAATAGATCCAGCCAGTTCAGAGATTAGCCGGAACAAACAGACAGAAAATTACAAAATATTTGACAAAAATTGTAAAAAATATTATTTTGGTGTATGTACCGTATGTATATCCATACGCATGTAGTATAAAACGGTTATTTCAATAGTACAAACAGACATTGTAATTTTATTTATATGTATAAAAGGACATGATTTTTTTATACATTATACAATATTAATAGGTACGTAGGTATCGATTGATCATTACATTAACAAAGGGGTGTGTAATCATCGTTGTGTTACTTTTAAAACTGCAGTAATGGTCTGCAAAATATCTCCTACTACCACATCTATCAAAAATCATGGCGGTGTCATGGAACAACAAAATTAGCAAAGATATTTTTTATGTTTCTTTCCTTAGAGCAGTAAGTTGTGCTTTTGAAGAAAATTTTAGTTGTTACTACATGATGTGTGGCGGTGACTCCGCAATCTCAGGACACTATCATCTCTAAGAGTATTGGGATTCTCGGTGTCGATAATAGCTCTAGCACAGTTGAGTTCCATACTCCTCTAGGAGAAAAGGCGAAGCCAGTGCCAAGCGGTACAGGTTTGGCCGCACATAGAGTACTGCTCTTATCTTTGGGCAGGAGCACCTAGATATGGACACCAGCTCATTCCTTTTGACTCGGATCAGAGACGTTTCATGAGAATTGTCGTTGATCTTGATTTCTCTCGCCTCAACTTAAGTGGTTCGATACACTTAGGTTGAGGCGAGATTTCACTTCGCTTTGTGTGTTCGACCATATATACAACAGACTATATTCTGAGGAATTTTTGGACATGATGCCTACGGCTACCTTTTACCATGGCCATCAACAGGGAATTCATCCCAACACGCTAGAACCTAATTGGTCTTGGACAGTGCAGTTTCAGAGGAGCTTCCTTTTGCGTACACTTAAATTGTGGAATGAACTTCCTGCCCAGGGTTTCTTATGGGACTATAGCATGGGGTTTGAAAGGAATATTAAGGTTTCTTAAGGGTCAGCAATGTGACACGCCTGGAGTCTCACGTGTCCATAGGCTACGGTAACCATTTACCATCAGATGAGCCGTATGCTTGCTTGCCACCATCGTAGTATAAATATATATATATATATATATATATACCGAAAGCATTTCATATTACTTACTGCAATAGCACGAACATGCAAAAAAAATAGTGATATACTATTTTGAATAAATAAAAGCAAGCTGTAATATGTGACTATCTTTTATTGTCAATATTTAGGGTTAATTATGATATAATAATCATTTGAACCGGAAAGGAATTACTTAATTTTATTAATAAAATTAAAGTAATTCGTTTACGAGGTCGTTGCTGCTCAACCCAACCTCGGAGCCGCATGTGACTTTCGTTTTCGACCGAGAGGAAATAATCTACGAAAAGTCTCTGGCTACACTTCTGCAAGTTTATAACAGACCGTTTTCATATCAGCAATTATGAATCATCATCATGTTTAAATAAAAACTATGATTGCTAGTAATTCTCATGTTATTGTCAGATGAGATGTGTTCAATCTGAGTATAAGTTTTAGTCATGTTTTCTCTCCGCTCCTCTCTCTCCCAAAGAAAATTGGCTGAATGTGTATCTATATTAAATTTAAGTAATGTTTTTCCCGCCTGGTATGAAGAAATAGTCAATATCATAGTATTTTATAAACGTGACCTTAAAATAACGTTTATAATTATTAATTTTTTGTTCCATCGTGTTTTCTTTTTTGTGCTTTACTTTTAAAACCTCTTTTTAAGTCAATAGATTTCTGAATTTTTGAATTGCTTTCAGTGTAAATATGCTCTTTTGTCTGCTTGATAGCATATTGATAACTATCAGATAAATTATCAAATATTTCAGGAGAAATTTCCATTTGAGGCAGTTTTGATTTTCCACTAGATCTGATAAGGTCCTAAAAAGAAAGGTGAATTATGAGCGACTGGATTTTGTATAAATTCTCACATAAACTGTTGGCTTAGAAACATGCCCATATTTAATTGAGAACCTATATTTAAATCAATAAGATTTTAATGTGATTTGGTAAGTAGATGCTTTTCCGCAGTCTACGTTTTTATTATCCTATTTAGCTGATTCCGTTGCCGAACCATGACCTCTGGTATCTTTTAGACGAGGTTGTAAATCACTACGCTACAACGTTCTCATTCTCAAAGCAGTAAATAATCCATTATTGTTAAATTTTGGGTAAAACAGAACTACATTTTAAACCATAAAAATAATTTTTAACATTCAATGATCCACAAATTTAAGAAATTATAGTAATGTAAAACATGAATATAAAAATTACCATAAATATGTTGATTTGATTCTGTAACAAGATTGTAATAGCATGACCTGTGCGACCTGCTCGTCCTGTTCGACCCACTCTATGGATATATGTTTTTATGTTTCTTGGTGGATCATATGAAATAACGTATATACAGTTTGGTATATCAATGCCTCTGGCTAATGCATCAGTACCAATCAGTCTGAAATAGAATAATGTTAATTACTACTTGTTTATTACAGCTTTTATTAATTTCCATAATTAGCCATAGTAAAAGTAGAAGCGAGTCAAGTTTCAGGGACTATTTTAATACCAATATCATTGATAATGATATGGTATAGTATGGCAAGATCAGTTAACCCATTCTGACGAATCCACAAGGAATTAACCATGTTGGTTTCTAGGGTTAAACTGCATAGAAATCGATCTGACATTAGTATGCTGTTGAACTTGGAATTATTTAAATATATGGACTGTCAACGCAATGATCTGTAATATTCGGCTACAGGCAGGAGTGTATAACTGTATAGTCTTAGTAATTGTAATTATTAAATTATGTTTATTTTCAAAGATTACATCTTTCAAATATTACTTTGTTTTGCTGCAAATATACCCAACAGTCATGTTATCTTGTGCGCCGTTTTTGAGAAGCTCTTGGGCCTAATCCCAGTGTGAGGCCCAATAGCTTCTCGAAAACGGTGTCTGTTGGTGATATTTTAAAAGAAAGCAAAACTGAACTTGGTAGTATCATCTTTTCTATCACTTGAGATCAGAGCCAGTGCAGAGATATTAGACTAATGTCAGCTTATTTTTATCTAAGGTGTTTATGCAATTTACCTTGCTATTATATATATATATTATATAGCTTTTAAATATGGTCCAGCATATCTATATATATTATTATTTATTAACTATATTATCTATCTATACAATATATATATATATAATTTAGAGATAGACATGTCAATGGACTATGTATTCAGTTGCTTGAATGTCTTGCCTGTTTAACTTACTTGGTAATAATTGATTTTCAGTTGAATGAAATTCTAGGCACATGAATATCACTATATAAACTAGAATATTTAAGGAAATAAGTAGTAGCAGTTACCTCAGATAACAATAAATATACATACACATTAATTTCAGATTGGGTGAACTTCTTTAAAACATTTTCTCTTGTTGATCTATCTAATGCTGAGGATAACTCTGCAACTTTTAAATTACCATTACCCCAAAAATTCAATAATACAGTTAATCTGTGTGCAGTTTGTGCTGCATTTGTGAAACATAAAACTTTGTTCCACTTTTGCTCCACTAAGAAATGATACAGAACTAATGGTTTATTTTCAGCTGTGCAAGTTATATATTTTTCTGTTAGTTCTGCTGGGGTTGTATATTTCCTAATATGATTCTCATCTTCAAAATTAACAGATGCAGCAGAGAATAGTTTGGGCTGGAAAAGGCCCCATTGGTCTAGTTTCTCAGGGTCTTGAGACAAAGTCGCAGAAAACATCAATTTATGTGGTGAAGCTTTTTGTTCAGTGATACTATTCCAACTCAGTGGTGGTACTTTGCCAGTCATTAATTCATTTTCTAATTTAATATGTCTTTCTAAATGATAAAGCCAGTCATTTTGTATATTATCCATAATTCTGTCAGCCTCATCAATAACTAATAATTTTAAGCATTTCAAAGAAAACCCTTTAGTATTTTGGATGTGTTCTACTAATCTTCCAGCGGTGCATACTATTATATCTACTTCACTGACCCACCCTACTGATTCAGCTGAAAAATAAGATTTATTTATTTTATATTTATATAGATTATCATAGTTAATAGAAGTACACAAAATTATTACATACTATATCGAACTATTTGTTGTTGTTCTTGATGCAGTGGTGTAGAAGCACTCAGTAAAGCAACTTTTAAACCAGTCTTTGTACAATACTTCTTAAATACTTTGGCAACTTGAGTTGCTAGTTCTTGCACAGGTAGAACAATTAATGCTTTTACATAATTACCAATGCTATTCATTAGAATCTGTAAGTAATACATTTTGTTATAAATAATAATCTATATTAACGATGCACTGAAACTATTGCACTATATTTTTCTGTTTGTGGTGGTAAAATATTTACCTGTATCACAGGTAAAACAAATGACAGTGTTTTACCACTTCCAGTTGGTGCTGAAACACAAACATCATGTGGCCAGAGAGCTGTTTGTTTGTGTTGATTAAGAATAAATGGAATTACATGTTCTTGCACTGGGAACAGATGAAACACTCCTTCACTAAGTAATGTGGATTTCAGAATATTATGTAACCACTCCTGTTTCTCCACAGGACATGATAAATTTTGCAGGTCAGTAGGTACACTATGTGGATGGGACAGCCAATAGGGTAACACCCTTTGTACCTACACAATATAACATTAATAATATCTTATAATTAATAATGAAATAATATTTTTATTACAAATTCTTAAGACATAATAAATACCTTTATTTTTTTCTCAAACTCCTTTATACCTAATACTTTAAATTCATGTAAATTTTGCTTTTGTATATTTGGAGATTTTATTGTACCCGTTGCAGCTACTTCTTGTTTATGATATTCTTGAATATCCTTTACTTCATTTTTGTGTGTTACCTTTTCGTCATCAATTGCCTTTACTTCTTTAAGTATTATATTATTCGATTGCTTATGATCTACACATGTTTTCCTTCTTTCTTCAATCTTTTGTTTTAATTTTTCTAAATTTTTTGATTCTTGATCTACCCAGTCTACTTCTTCATTATTATCTCTATATCTACACAAAAACTTTACATTTTCAAAAACAAAATATTATAAGAATTCTTTTAGTTACCCAGTGGAACTACGTACATATATTTTATATATTAATCAAGTATATAATAACATGGAATGCATTTGTTACTTTTAAATAAAAATTTAATAACAGACTTACAAAGTAAATATTAGTTGGTAATGAAATGACTAACGAAAATAAACAGACGCCCTATGTTATGGGTATTGTCCGATTTGAACAGTACACCGGTTGGTATTGGGTTTCGTTTGATACACGAAATATACTTCAACTACTACTACTTTAAACTCCTATGTAATTACCAAGAATGACAATTATATGTTTACGCCTGTTACGCGGTTCACCGAGAAGAGCGGATTCTAAATAAATCATTATATTCAATAATGCATACCCTGATGATTTTACTTATCAAACTACACAAAATTTCCCCTTGTATTGGAAACTACTTGGCCCCAGAAAAGCTGCGGATCAGTGGTCGTAACGAGATTATAAGTTTAAGGCATAAAATAACACAAACCTGTTAATAACGAATAGATCCATTATAAATAGTAACACTGAAACGTAGAATTGCAATTATAATACTACTATTGATTCAGGGAGAACTTTAAACTTTTACGATTTATAAAAATTAAATAAAGGCTGTTTCTATAATAAGTTTTTAGGTTACTTCAGGTTATTTACAAATTAAACAACATGACCATAATGACAGTACAGCACAGATCAACAGTCACAGTGCAGTTTAGATTTTATCTTGATCTGTCCTCGTATGTTTTAAGGTTGGCACCCCCGGTAATGGCAAGTCATTGCTGTCAAGTGTCAGTCTTGTAATTTTGGCCAAATGACATGGAATGGAATTGAAAGAAAAATAATTTCGCTTACCAGGGTCTCGCTGGAACAACTCTTATTTTACACCTAAATATTCGTATAATATTTCAAATGGTTCTTCATAAAAGATTTTCTCTTAAAATTGTTTAGTTCTTATTTTATTTGAATTACTTATTCCGTGTTTATATTGTCAAAGACTGAAAATATCTCAAAATGGCTAGTGTATCCTATCAAATTGCAAATCTTTTGGAGAAGGTAAGCCGGCAATAATAAGTGAAAATAATGTCTTAAATAGCTAATTTGAGTTGACATCATAATTTAATTGATTAATTATTTCAGATGACTTCCAATGATAAAGATTTCAGGTTCATGGCAACTAACGATTTAATGACAGAGTTGCAAAAAGACAGCATAAAACTTGATGATGATTCAGAAAAAAAAGTGGTTAAGATGCTTCTTCGATTACTGGAAGATAAGAATGGCGAGGTACAAAATTTAGCTGTGAAATGGTATGTATGCCCAAAAAATGTATGGGTTAACCTAAAAGTTAATTTAAGTAATATATTTTGAAAGATTTTATTTGTATAGTTGGTAAACTGTGAAAATTAGAAATAACACATTTTTCAATACATATTTCGTGTATACTCTCTTTATATTACAACTTAACATGTCACTATTGTTAGGTTGCCAACCACAAATTAAAAAACTAGTATTTGAAGTTGATAAAACAGGGACTATTCAGTTTAAAAATAGGATGCAGTAATAGAGTTGTAATATGTAGTGAAAATAGGTGAAGGAATGTTTTAGGTTTTTTTTATTATAAATTGGAACCATATTTAATTTATAAATTAAAAACACAGTATGCAGTTTATATATTATTCAGAATATCCCAGGACACTACAAAAAGTAAGACATTTCCTTGGAGAACAGGCCATTTGCTAATTCTACATTATAGAAAACTATTTGACTAGATGGTGCACAAGCTATCTATTGGGAGCAGACTTTAAAATATCTAATTTTAGGCAATATTGAAATAATTACATATTATCTCTCCGATACAAAATCAATATCACACTGTTGCCAGGTTTTTGTGATTATTAAATATTGTCAGAAATTAATATTTATTACTGATTTTGTAGTTTATACTCTATTGAAGTGTGGGTGTTTATTTAAATCATATTAACAAAATAATTATAAAGTATATGTATTAATAAATATAGGTATGTTGTATCAATACAGTTTTTTTAATTGTCATATATTTCACCAAAATAGAAAATAAATGATCTTCATATTGTGCCATATTTCATAAAACATCCACTTAGTTAAAAAATTTTGTTAGCAGTTTCATGGAAACCACAAAAAGGTTTCTTTTTTCGGTTATTTAACTTGCAAGTTAGTAATGGAAACACTAGTGTAGGTATGTGAATTTTAAAATAATATGGCAGCTTTTAAAAGTTTAAAACTAATGGTCTAAAATAGAAAATTACAATTCAACAAGTTTTTACAGCCTAAACACAGAAGTTAGACAACAGAGTCTCAATTGACAATATGATGATTGTCAATTTGGACTTCAATATAATAAATTTTAATGGACTATCTACAGTTAAAAAATGTGAGATAATATACATTCTCAAACAATTCTTATTATTGGAAATAGATGGTTTCCAGAATACAATTATGCAGATGTTTACAATTTGTGGTAGTCAATTCTCAGAGAACCGTCATTGTTCTTCTGTGTCATATGATGTTCTGTATTCTCATATAAAAAATAGCAATATTTTTATTTCAGCCTAGGACCCCTTGTAAATAAGGTAAAAGAGTTTCAAGTTGAGAGCATTGTAGAGACTCTTTGTGCCAACATGCTCTCAGACACTGAACAGTTGCGGGACATAAGTAGCATTGGCTTGAAGACTGTTATATCAGAACTTCCATTGGGTTCCAGTACTCTTGCAGCAAATGTATGTAAGAAAATTACTGGGAGACTGAGCAGTGCTATTGAAAAGGTGTGTTTAGACTTTGGCGTAAATACTAATAAATATCTTAAAATTGTATTATAGTCAGTGAGATGTTTCTGTATGTGTTTTGTTACTATACATATCACGTATTACTAAAAATTTTGCAAATATTGCTGGCTAACCCAGATTAAAAATGTCTGTTTTTCTGACCACCTTGATTTGATGATGTGAAGGCTTAGTAATGAAATATTTATGATCACAGACCCCTATTAAAACAATAGAAAGATTTATATACATATAGAAATATTTTTCTTCATTAAGAAGTGTTGTCTCACTCAATAAAAAAGACAGACAAAGAAGATTTTTTATTTCCATAATAATAATATATATAAAATAGTAGTTCTAATCAATAATTTTAAAATATTTTGAACATATGGTTAAATTGAGTGTTAATTATATTATAATTAAGTTTTAATTAAAATTGTCGATATTTTTTTATTGTTAGTGATTTATAATCCCTAATATATTGAGATATTTACGACCTCAGCAGTTTATTATTACTTTCCAAGGTGCAAACATTTGTACTCATGACTATCATTTTTGTATTGGCCTGAGTGTTTTCTATGTATACTATTTACAAAATAATATTTACAAAAAATGTATGTAGGTATTTATATTAGTTGTTTAGCACCCAAAGCACACTCCTGGACCTGTGTTATTATTATTTTTAAAATGTTCTAAATAATATTTAATTTCAGCAAGAAGATGTTTCTGTTCAGCTGGAGGCATTGGATATTTTAGCTGATTTGCTTAGTAGATTTGGTGGTCTCTTGATATCCTTTCACACAATGCTATTAAATTCCTTGCTTCCGCAGCTTGCATCACCACGCCAGGTACAACAATGCATATTAAACAGCTCGATTTTGTTATTATTGAATAACTTGTTATAGTAAATATAACTAAATAAATATTTCTTAGTTATACATAGTATTATTGTTTTACTAATTTTACTGATATACAAGTATAATTAATGTCTGTATACAATATGAAATACTACACTTAATTTAAATTATCACATACCTTGTCTTATACTGAATTAACTAAAAAAATACAGACTTTCAAGAATCCACTCTAGAGTATTTAAAAGTATAAGAGTGTGAATTTTTAAAATTATGTATTAACTCAAAAGTATTGAACTAGGTGTGCCATATTATAGATTTTAATATTGCACAGTGTGAGAATTTTTTTCTTCGTATTATCATTTAAAAAATAATTGCAGGCAGTTCGTAAACGCACCATAGTTGCATTATCACATTTGGTTATGTCCTGTAATACATCTCTGTATAACAAACTTATTGATCATCTATTGGAAGGACTGGGTTCATCAACATCATCAAGTGTCAGTCGCACACACATACAATGCATTGCTTCTGTATGGTAAGATATTAACTACATACTTTTATTTCTGATATACTTTTTATATTTTCATATATATTACTTTTTTTCCTCAGTTCAAAAACTTCTAAGATGGTTACGATAGTTGTATTATAGAGTCCAATGAAAGTCAGCTGCTGTTCCGAAGGTGGGTGCACTGCAAAGGTCATGAGCAGCACCTTTACAACGTTGCTATTGCACTGCAAACATTCAATCATTTCCTCTTGGTTCAAATTGCATCAAATGTATATGAAAGAATATAATAGTTGAACCTAGATATATACCTAGATATCCCTTCCACAGTAACCTATATAGGTTACTGTGGAAGGGAATTAAAACCAAAAACAACTTAATACCTCCTTATTAGTTATCTTGGAAGTTATTGAGCGGGAGGAAATAGGTCACATGGTGTAATTATAATAAGTAGCCATTATCTGTCACTTCAAGATGGCTTACATCAATTCTTGTAATACAATCTATTATCATTTCAAATTTCATTAACGTCATCATTCAGCCATTTAGTTCCGCAAAGGTAACAAAAAGATGGACAGAGACATTATTTTATTTATCATATTCATGTGAAAATATCGATATCCTTACAATACAGATGATAAATGAAGCGAAGTAACTCCCTATGCGTAGTAAACGCTGAGAAAAGAATTCGTTTAGTTGTTGATTGTGGTGTTAAAAATGTCCTATTAAAAATATTCTGTTTTTAGTCGTCAAGCTGGACATAGATTTGGTGAGCAGTTATGGCGTGTCGCGCCTCAAGTTCTAGAACATTCCACAGATGCTGATGAGGAATTGCGTGAACATTGCTTGCAAGCATTGGAAGCATTTGTGCTGAAGTGTCCTAAAGAAGTTCAACCACATATTCCAACGGCAAGTTTTAATATTAATAAAAATAGATTTCCCATATAGGTTCCAGCGCAGTAAATGTTAATTAAACACTAATTATATCACGCACAACGGCCCAGGTGAGAGGCTAATTACGGAAAATGGAGTCCAACTTATATTACAAACACTAATTATATTATTGTGTTAACTGTTTTTTGTGGTAGAGTACTATGATGATAGTATAATAATTAATTGATATGAGAATATTTAATAAAGTCCAATTGATGGTACATACTATTTTTTATGTAATTAGAATCGCAATCAAGTTCATGGCCCACGTGATGGTATGTGGTAACCTCGTCTATATACATGTACAGAACTATTGTGTGACAGACTTATGTGTAATGACATGTAGTCATTGAATAGGACTAAGAAGTCATGCCTCACCCTGTAATTTCACTGTTTAATCAGCACCCTACAACTGATAAACAGCTTACAAAACAAGCTGCTTGCGGCTGAAACATCCACTCGTTGCTATGAGTTTTTACAGTGTATCTCTGGTAAAATGTATGATTTCCTGACAGACTATTTAATTAATAATTGTGGTTTATAAATTGAACAGATAATTGACCTCTGCTTAAAAATGATAACTTACGATCCTAACTACAATTATGAAGATGAAGAGGAGGATGGTGGCGGAGAAGATGAAGAAATGGAGGATGAATCTTTTGCTCCTGATGCTGATCCCGATTCTGATTCAGAAGAATATTCTGATGATGATGATATGTCATGGAAGGTGAGAATAATATTTTTTCACCAAACTTAAAGTATATATAACTGTTTTTAGAATTCTAAACTAAGTTAATTCAAAATGAGGTTTCACAGGTTGTGTCACAGGTTGTGTGTGTGTGTTGTGTTGTTGTCACCCCGTAGTTGAACTGCAAAATGATAAAATCATGTATTCACATTTTTTACGACAAATATTGAAACATTTTATATTCTTACGTGCAATATAGCACCTTATTTTACTCTAGTTTCTATTAAATTTATATTAATGAATTTTACACTTGATGGAATAATTCATTAACAGGTGAGGCGTGCAGCCGCTAAATGCCTGGAGTCTGTTATTGCAACACGTCATGAGCTTTTAGCTGAAATGTACGTGACTGTTTCGCCAGCTTTGATTGCCAGGTTTAAAGGTAGGTAATTAATCTAATAATAATAATTATAATATATTTCTATCTCTATAAACTTGATATTATAAACTTAGAAAATATTAGAATAAAAAATAATAATATTATCTTTGTGGTCACTACACTCCTACGACAATCTACCACGATGAAACAGTCCATACCGCCGCTATCTTCCGTCATGTAGGTAGACAGAATCTTGGTCGGTTTAGCGGCGCATATTAAGAAGTTGGGGCCAGTCGGTGCAGTGTCAGGATTGTTTCCATTGACCCGCTTTTTGCGCCTCTTTGTAGATTATTTATAATATGTTTTGTAAGAAAATATAAATTGTATAAAAAATGGTATTTTTTTCAAAGAACGAGAGGAAAATGTCAAGTGTGATATCCTAAGTGCGTACACGGCTTTGCTGAGAGCTACACGTCCGCCTCCCGCACTTCAAATGTCGATCGCTCCCAATGATAACTCTCCGCAAGCTCTGCTTCTACAAAGGGTATTTTAATATAGTTATATTTGCTTGTAAATTTTATTTTCACAGCCTTACTTCTGATGGTCGCAGGTTTGATTCCTCGCAAGTACAAACCTTTGTATTTCTACTGCTGAGTATGATTGTTTGTATTAGATGGGTATTTCTTATCAATGTATGCGAAAAAAAATGTATTTATATCAGTCGTCTAGTACCCAAAACACAAGCTTTGCTTAGCTTGGGATTTAATTTCGTTGTATGACTTGTCCAGGTATAAAAAAAAGAAAAAGAATAATAATAGAATAATCTTGTTATAACTGCATATCTCTATGACTAATGGTCTACGTAAATTGTCTACTGCACAAAATAAACATGGCATGTTCCATGTCCCTCTATATGTGGAGCAGCCATAGTGCTTACAAAGAAGTCTCTATATCGAATATATAGCCGCAGTCTCAATATTGTTTTGCCTATAGTTATTATTATTATAATTAGGCAGAGGTTAAAAGTATACATGTGTAATGAACACTTCAGGTGGCGGGCGTGGTGCGCGGCGCACTGCGCGTGATCCGCGGCCGCAGCGTGCGCGCGCGGCTGTGCGCTGGCGCTGCTGCGCGAGCTGCTGGCCGCCGCGCCCGGCTGCCTCGCCGACCAAGCTGCGCGCGTCGTGCGAGCTCTCACACCCGCGCTCACGTCAGTACACCTCTCATTACCTGCATACACACTAATACACATACGCCCTTACACGCGCGAATAGGCTACGCATATGACGACGTTCTCGCGGCTTTGCATGTAACGAAGCTCTCGCGTCAATGACGAAATAAACTATAAATTAAAAATCAATTACTATCAAATATATAATAACTAAATAAAATTGATGATATATATGTTTATACAGCGACAAGAGCACTGCGTCGTCGATGAAGATCGAGACGCTGGTGTTCGTGGTGTGCTTGGTGCGCGGACACAGCCCGGCGGCGATGCGCGCCCACGTGGCGGCGCTGCTGCCCGCGGTGCTGGCCTGCGTGCACGACCCCTTCTACAAGGTCACCGCCGAGGCGCTGCGCGTGCTTCAAACCCTCGTCAAGGTCATGCGCCCGCTCGGTCAGTACTATAACATTTCCTTTTTCTTTTCTTAAAAAAATGCTATAACCGGCCCGGGGAACGACCTAATTAATAATTAATTCCTAATATTTGCCTCGATCCCACTTTTCTTCGTCACATCACCCTAGCCTTGCGCCCTGGCAATGAGCTTATACTTGACGCCCATACCCGGCTATTTTGTTTAGTGTCTATAGGTACAAAATCTACTTAGTTTTCACCAGTAAATACCTAATAACACTAGTTTCCCCTTAATAGAATTTCGCCTCGAGTACTTAAACCTAACCATATAGCTGTTTGTTTTGACACATAGTATATGTAACAGGACCAATGAACCAAAAATATTCTAAAGCAATTATTGTGCAGATAATGTGGAAAATATAGAGGGCAAGGAAGCGGTGTTTGTGGAACCACCTCCCGAGGAGTTGCAGCAGTTCATCCCTGCGATGTATGAATGCACACTGGTGCGCTTGCGAGCCACCGACATGGATCAGGAAGTAAAAGAGCGTGCCATTGCTGCCTGCGGACAACTTATATGTCATTTTGGCGATTATTTGCAAGTACGTAGTATCTGTGAATTTCTTTACATATAAATAATAATCACCATGTCTAATTTCATAGAAATTATATAATTTTCTAAAGTAACCTCATATATTGTTTATAATTGAAATATTTGTTTATAATTATATGGTAATTATTATTGTTGAAATTATATTACTATATATGCATACATATATATAATAGGTACACTAATAATATTTACGATGATATAACCTGAGTATACTTTAGTTAATTAACTTTTTTGTCTTAAACAATAGGAAAAACTTTATTAAAGACATGGATCCAAATAGGAAGAATGTGCTAACCAAAACATTTATTACTAAAATAGCTTATTCCATTCTATTGACTATTCGAAAATATTCAGATAAAGCACATTACAAAATTTTGGTTTAATCATTAAAAATATGAAAAATATTATTTTAATTCAATTTGTTATTTAGATGAAATATTTCAGTTAGTACCTGTTTACTTGAATTTACTGTCAACATTTAGATAGGACATATGAATGGAAGCGAAAAACATTACGCCGACCCCAAATAAATGGGATAAGGAAGAAGCAGAAGATGATGATTTAGATAGGACACCTCCATCATATCCAGCTGTGTCGTAACAATAACAATTAACGTAACGACAAATCTTTTATATTCTTATTAATAGACATAAACGATTTATTCGTATCTTCAGCGCACGCTTACAAGTAAACAAAAAAGCAATATTTGATATTTTGTTTGCAGAATGAACTTCCTGTGTGTCTACCCATATTTTTAGAACGGCTGCGTAACGAAATTACACGTCTTACAACTGTTAAAGCATTGACTAAAGTCGCTTCGTCCCCTCTACGCATCGATTTGAGACCTATTTTGGTAAGTTATTGCAGGTACCAACATTACCTAGTTAGACTTCTTAAAATGTTTCTGGGTACCTCTATCTCAACTATTTCAGATACCCAGCATCTTCCTTTCTATTTCGTATATAAGTTTGGAATTATACAGTACGGGGAATGTTGCTTGAAGCACCGTCAGTACCATTGTCGTCTATTAATTACGTGACCGACCACGGACGTCCGAAATCGACTCGAGTGCGGAACACTCAAACAGACAGACCAACATACTTTGCAATATTAAGTATAAATTAATTGTAGCTACATCTGTTAATTATAAAATTATTTATGCCGTCAGTTGATCATATTCTCTAATTTGAAAAATGTAGCACAGTGTTCAAATTTGGATGTCTATTTTCATACACAGAAATACCCAATATCACAATAAATTTGCTTTATTATAAATAATAATTTATATTACATATTATTTTTATTACAATCCATACTTAATTTTGTAAATGTGGTCTGGTCTGTCTCTTTTGATATGTTTTCATTACTAAAAGGCTAAACACATTAATATTAAATTTAATGATAGATTGCATCGCAAAAGACAAATGTAAGTTATTATTACCTTAAAATTTCTGGAAGGGTATAAAATAGAGGATTAAAATTTGTTCACACCGTGAGCCGCTGGTAACAGTTAGGATAATTTTATTTGTTAATTTCAGTCTGACGCAGTGCCTATCTTAGGATCGTTTTTGAGAAAGAATCAAAGAGCTCTAAAGTTGTCTACCTTAGTATTACTGGATACTCTGGTGCAAAACTATAGCAACGCCATCAGTATAGAGCTTCTGAGCAAGGTACGTATTATTTAAGTTGCCAGTGTCATTTCTTTTTTGTGATGATTTATTTTGGATTGTTCATTCGACTGAAATAAAACTTCTCTCTCACTTCGACTGAAAAGTTCTCTTTCATTACGAAGGTAATCGTAATGAAAGAGAACTTTCTCAATTGCTGTGATTTTTATATATTTAATTTTAAGAACTACGTTGAATAAGAAACCCTATTTGGCAGTAAAAATATTCAGATTAAAAACATGGATAGTTGCCATAGTCAGTCAGCTATTCCGTTTTGACGCTATTATCATAAAACCAATAAATACAGAGACTAAAGCCATCTGAGTGGATACATTATTGTGGCCGCAACAGAGCAAGTTAGTCAGTTGTGTGTAGTCGCGTTCTGAACGGTCCCGGTCGTGACAGGTGGCAGGTGTTGACGGAGGTGCCGGCGCTGGTGAGCGAGGCGGACCTGCACTGCGCGCAGACCGCGCTCACGCTGGTGCGCGGCGCCTGCCTGCGCTGCCCGCACGCGCTCACGCCGGACGCGCGCCACGCGCTCACTCCCAACATACTCGCGCTCGCCAAGTCGCCGCTGCTCCAGGGTACGTATCTACTGCAGCGCGCACCACGCGTTCGCTCCCAATTCTCTCATACGTTTGTATCTATATTTTACGTTAACTTTTTAAAAATATTTATTCCCCTTTAAGATTTGTAAATTATCAAGAAATCTGTAGTTAGATTTTAGTACCATGGTCAGATGTCTCCCATTTTCCAGTGATCCTTATTCATCGCAAAAGCGCGCGAAGCTACGCAGGATTGTGCGAACGGACGATGCGCGCGCAGTCCTTTTCGTTCTCTTTGTCGACATTTCCATGCACGCCCTTTTCTATGTCAGCAAATTCCTGAAAGAGGGAATGTGAAAAGAAACTAGTATACCGAGTTGGTTTTCGTGCCGACGTAAAAATTCAAAGGTTAAAAGCGTGTCTAACTCCATTTGCTCAAAATTCGTCACTAAGTGAATATTGACATGTTGAAATTTTGAGGTTACATCTGGTGAGGTAAGATCTGAAATGAATGTGATCGTTTAATAGTGTGTGTGTGTGTGTGTGTGTGTGTGGTGTTCAGGCGGAGCACTGGCGGCGATGCTGGGCGTGCTGAGCGCGCTGGTGGCGGCGGACGTGGCGGGGTGCTCGCGGCGCGAGCTGCTGGCGCTGCTGGTGGCGCCCGTGCACCGCGTGCACGACCACAACGTGCACGCCACCGCGCACCACACCAAGCAGGTACCCACACCTGCCAACATCTGACACACCACACTGCCCCCAAATACTATATTTGGAGTCTTAAAAAATAATAAAGAACGACTGGTCGCGATGTTGTTACCTCACACTCCGTAATGTTAAATTTAATAAGAAAAAAATCTAATTTTTCTTCGATGAGGACATTAAGATTTCTTGCAAAATTGCCAATATCGGTTGCCGTCTAGCGAAAGTAGGGAAGATATGATTAGAATTTTTTAAAGAGATGCAGATATTTTTGCCTGAAAGGGATATGAAAAAATCAACCATTTTTCTTACTATTTTAAGCATGAGTAAAAACTCATGGCACTGAAACGGTTCAAAAAGTGTGTGTTGTAATCAGAATGTGACGGTTAAAATAGTGAGTGGTGTAATCGGAATGTGTGTTGCGTGTGTGGCAGGCGTTCCACTCGCTGGCGAAGTGCGTGGCGGCGGTGGTGGTGGAGGGCGGCGCGGACGCGCTGGAGGTGGTGCGCGAGTTCCTGCGGGACGCCGCGCGCCCGCCCTCCGACCCGCACCACATGTTCGCGCTGCTCGCGCTCGCGGAGATCGGACGACACCTGTTAGTTCTCACCCTTTCTACTGCCCTTTAACACCCAGTACTACATATGTATTGCGAAACTTTTTTGCTGGTCAATATTATAATATTACAGGCCATAAAATACAGGCTAATTATTTTTGCTCTTTATTTGGTATATTTCTGCACTAAATATGACGACAATAAACCCATCGTAGCTACACTAAATAACAATTAAAAATAATCAACTTAAATTAATGATATCAGCCAGAACAATAACTTTGCTGGATCCCAAGCTGGCTCTGCCAATATTTTATGGAATACAACCATGTCTAACCTATTTAACTTAAATATAATTACTGTGTTAATCGACATATTTTCAGAGACTTGAGTTCGATTCCGAAACTGAAGGAGGTGCTTTTGGATTCGTTTACACCATCCTCGGAGGAAGTGAAGTCAGCGGCGAGCTACGCACTCGGCTCGGTCGCCGTCGGTAACCTACCAGAGTTTCTGCCGTTCATACTAGGTTAAATAGAAGCGCAACCCAAACGCCAGTATCTGTTATTACACTCCTTACGTGAGGTTAGTTATACAATGTTTGAACTAAATGTTTACAATGTTTCTTACTTGTTTAACATACAGTTACAATTACAGTTCAGGGTAATTTATTAAATGCTACTAATTTTTATTCTTTCATTTAGTCAATGATGATTTTTATCATATGTGTACGTAAAATGCTATAGTATTACAAAAAAAGATGTCCAATAATGTAAGGAATTAAAGTAGAATGTTTAATTGCTGGTTAATTTTTTTTTATTATTTATAAACCATTTGAATCTTGTGTCTTAACTGTAATATTTAACTCTATGAACAATCAAGTCTTAGCGCATTTCTAAATACAACCCTTAAATATAAAACAAACTTATTTGGTGATACATCCCAAATTTTTTTTGTCAATAGATTATTACCTCAGAATCATGTACACCGGAAGGTGTAGAAGCCTTAAGACCTTTTATACGAGAAATTTGGGTGCAACTATCTAAACATTGCCAATGTGCAGAAGAAGGGTCTCGTAACGTGGTAAGTGCCTATGATTTGTACTAAATTCTTAATTGTTATGGCCTAACACATGACTAATAGAAAAATCGGAAAAGTTCAATACTTTTTTGTAATTACTTATCATTAGGATACCGATAGGAAGGTTAGTTGCAGACCGATAATTAGTTGACAGAAAGAAAAATGTGGTGCTATGAATTATGTATTTAGTTTTAATTAACTACTCAGTACTGACTGTGTAGTGTTTTGATTTTCATCAATCATCATTCAATTCAGGCATGTGTATAAGAACATTGGCGTATTCTTATGCATATTCCTGAATTGATTCAGCACAGGATTTATTCTTTGTTTTTAGGTTTTTATTTTAGATTATATGCATGTTTTTTTTAATTAAAACATAAGGCACGTGATGCAATGAATTTTGCTTATATTTCAGGTAGCAGAATGTTTAGGTAAATTATGTTTACTAGAACCCCAAGAACTATTGCCTCAATTGAAGGAATTCTTGAAGTCACCGGAACCACTTACTAGAACGACAGCAGTTACTGCGGTTAAATTCACCATTTCTGATCAGGTTAGTGTCATTATAATATGTATAGTGTTTATTTATTACAAAATAAAAAAATATAAGGAATACTTTTATCAGTTTATATCTAATTAAACTTAAAATGTACCTCACATGCACTAATTGAATTAAATACTCTAATAGAAACAATATTAGATATACAACCAAGTGGTTGAGTTACTAAATAAGAGTAAATCAGACGTAGTAATTAGAGCAGACCAGTCTCTACAAGCTGCACTCTTTCACCAGTATGACAGATGAGACAGCCATCACTGCACTCGACCTGACTGACTTGATTAGATATTTGTGACAAGATAGCTAGCAGTTTTTACCGAAGGTTTAAATATATCCCATGTCATACAAAATGGAAGGGTGCCGCGTGGTGACAGATCCATTACAAGTATATATATATATATGGATGTGTTGGTGGGGTGCGTCAGCCGCAAGCGATCGACCCGCTGCTGTGCGCGTGCATGCCGGAGCTGCTGGTGCCGCTGCGGGACGGCGAGCTGGGCGTGCGGCGCGTCGCGCTGGTCGCCTTCAACTCCGCCGCGCACAACAAGCCCTCGCTCGTGCGCGACCTGCTGCCCGACGTGCTGCCCACCATCTATCTCGAGACCAAAGTCAAGGTACCACTACTACACACACACTCCACTTTGCGAACTTACACAAAATAACTTTTGTAGATTTAAGTAGTTTTGTTAAAATAACTTAGCGAATGTGTTGTCCGTCTCTATAGTATCCTAATATCATAGCCAATATTCTATGTAGTAGATAACAAACGAATAAACTGTATAGATTACGTGGCAGTACTAAGAAGGAAAATGGCTAAATAAAAAAAAATTGCAGAGGTGGATTCAATTGTAATTGCAGGCACACACAATGTATATGAAGAATGTGTGCCTGCTCCTGACACAGTATTATATTTTTCAAATAATTTCAATTGCACACTTATTACCGTCGGTTGATAACGATGCCGGTTTTCCATGCTTTGTATATACTTTATGTGAACGAAGGACTGTATATATATGGGGCTGGTAGATATAATATTATGTACAAAATTATAACAGTTAGCAGAACAAGAATAACAATGACATATATATTTTTCTATATAAAATAATAGACAAAATACATAAATAATATACAGAGAGTTGCGTCGTGCACAGTTTATATATTTAGATATAGACATATATGATGACAGAACCACTGTCAATATAATATTGTCTCCTGACTACACACAGAATAGACACGTATCAATTATGTTAAAAAGCACATAAATAATAAGTATCTGTTTTGTAGAAAGAGCTAATCCGTGAAGTGGAGATGGGTCCGTTCAAACATTCTGTAGACGACGGGCTGGACCTTCGCAAGGCAGCTTTTGAGTGCATGTACACACTGCTGGGCACGTGTCTAGACCGCCTGGACGTGTTCGAGTTCCTGAGGCACGTGGAGGATGGCCTGCGTGACCATTACGACATCAAGATGCTCACTTACCTCATGTGTGCTAGGCTCGCACAGCTCTGCCCTGCAGTCGTTTTGCAAAGTTAGTCTTACTATTTTATAATATATCGTCAATAGGTACTATGGTCAGATGCATATATAGTTATGCAATATGAATATAACACCTTAGTTCTCTGGAATGGCTATTTATGGGTATCACGGCATTTTTAGTTGGCTCATGTCTATTAGAAAGTTTATAATATTTATTAATTGGCTTATTGTTTCAATTTCAATATATGAAAGCTTCTTCATCTGTGCCATACTGTTAGTCAATTGTTCTATATATTTTTTTAAGTTAGGCGATATTTGGTAATCTTCTAGACTAGTATTTATAACTTTAGTTTCAATTTACCAGGGCTCGAGAGCTTAGTGGAGCCATTAAGAGTAACATGTACTATGAAAGTGAAGGCCAATTCTGTGAAGCAAGAGTATGAAAAACAGGATGAATTGAAGCGCTCCGCTCTGCGCGCTGCTGCAGCATTGCTACAAATACCAGAGGCTGGTGAGTACTTTTATATTAATAGTTTTTTATGAAAAGGACTGGGAAACTAAAGACTGAAATGTGTTATCATTGGAATTCTTTGGTATATTGTATTATATACATGTATTATACTTATAGACCTTCCTCTTGAATCACTCTATCTATTAAAAAAACCGCTTCAAAATCCGTTACGATGTTTTAAAGGTTTAAGCATACATAGGGATAGACAGCGACAGCGACTTTATTTTATACTATGTAATGATGATGATGACAATTCTATGGAGTGCCCTAGGAATGTCTTAATGCAGATTTACATATTTATATCTACGAATGTCATTTATATTTCACATGATTATAGCTGATGTTATGTTGTATTATTTCAGAGAAAAACCCTCATCTGATGGAGTTCGTGACGCAAATCAAAACGATCCCGGACTTGCAGCCAATTTTCGAGTCGATCCTGAAGGACTCGAGCGGCGGCGGCGTGGACTCGAACCTGATGGACCAGAGCTAGCCGCGCCGCGCCACTGCGCCCGCGCCGCTCTCGCTGCACTCGCTCCGCATCTAGTGTCCGTCTCGCTCGTGCACGCACGCAAGTTCATTCGTTGTTTCCCTTTGTTTTCACGTTAAGTTGAGAACCCCTGTTCTTCCTTTTCATTATTGTATAAAAGTTTAAAGTCGAACATCATTTGTATAATTTCAATCGTGATCTCATCCAAATAATATTTACGCCATTTGTTCAACAGTTTTTTATTATAAAATTACATAGTTACAAGAAAGCTCTACTAAGTCCCTGACGTAACAGTAACGAATAATAATCGGGGTGCCTCACTAAGAGATTTAATATTAAGTATAGTAGGGTTTTAGGAATCATTAGGTCGTCGCTGTACAAATGTTGTGGCTGACCGTTACTAGCTTTGCATTACTATCTATTTTCGCTGCCGAGTTCACCATAAATTTATGATCTGTATTAATAGAATTAAAGTATTCTGAAGAAATATAGATAATACTCATAATGATTAACTACTCATTCTTTTTCCCAATGTATGTGTTCAAATTAGAAAAGAATGGCAAACGCTCATACTCTCGGCAACCAAAATTCGAGAGATCTGTTGATAGTTATACATAATTATCGTAATGTATGTATTGTGATATGCTATATGGAAAATTGCAAAAGAATGGATAAATACACTAGTAAAGTGAAACAAGAATAGTATCAGTTATTTTCCTTTCCTCTTGGCCGCGGGCGTGGCGCTTGATGCTCTCGAACTTGGGGCGTCGGTCTGTGGACAGAACATTATAAAGAATGATTCTTAATCTTCGTCTATTTCTGTATGTATACTGAAATTGAAATTGGACGTTATACTTAAAAGAAGTAAGTACTGTTTTTTTATTATTCTGTAAATTATTTTTGGCCATAAGTTCCTTTAACTCTGGCTAGAGAATAGTACGAAGTCTTGCAGCTAGAGTATGATACTGGTGCTCTTAGACTGAGAAGTACATGTTCGCTACTTTAATATTTTACGAACTCGCTCATGTTAAAACAACAGTAATGTTTATATATATATATATATATATATATATATATAATATTTAGTATTTTGAGATATTCATCACTAAATTATTTACACCCAGAAGTTGGTGGATACAAAATAATAATATTGATAATTTCTCTTCACTTAAAGAATAGGACAAAAGTAAAAAACAATTTAATTTTGACAAAATAAATAATGTTACCGGTTTGAGAGGTTTAGCAGGTGAGGCTCGCGCTAGTGTGGCCGCGCTCGCGTTGCGTGACATGGGTCTCGTCGTTGATGTCGACATCGCGCTCACCGGACGCTCTGGGCTCAGCTCTTTGCTACGATAGACAAAAACTACAATTTTCCTAAGGCTCGAGAGAAAATCAGAGTAGTCTGCACAAATTTATTCTCGGACAGTGCCGTTTCGGAGGAGCTTCCTCCTGCGTACGCTTTGATTGTGGAATGAAATGCCTGCCTAGGTTACCACGATATATTACTACATGTGACACGTGACCTATTTAAGCCTGAAACACCAGGGTTTCAGGCTTACATAGGTCACGTACATACATACATTACATAGGCTTACATAACCATTTACCATTAGATGGTACGCTTATTTGCCATTATCGTAGTATAATAAAAAGAAACAATGAAGCGAATCCGTAAATCAAAGTCTCAATAAATACATTTGTTTATGCAAATATGTTACATTTTATAGGCGTTTGTCAACATTTGTCAGTCTAATATTTTTTACGACTAATTTACAGAAAATGTAGCTAATCATGTCGGTACAGTTTACCATTAACACGAGACAAAACTACAAATACAATGGTACCTTAGATCGTCGAACTAGAATAGAACGTTTTTAAAAGTCACTGCACTATATTGTCATTATAATTACTTTGATGTAAATATATATATATATATATATAGCAATTTGCGTTAGACTGTCTGTCCTTGTTACTCCAAGTATTATGAAAAAATTCAAAACACAAATTAATGTGGCAAAATATTAAATAACATTTATGGTGTTAACTTGCTTGTTACCTGTTCCCCCGTGACAGCTGCCCCTTTCTGCTAAACATATCGGAAAGTCGTCCGCGCAAGTCTCGTTTGCTGCCCGCTGCGCTCATATCAGAGTCTGAACCCTGTAATAGTTTAATTAATAAAATAATCGCTATTCCGCTTGATAACACCACATTATAGCACACATTTATATTCTAAATACACATATATGTAATTTATAGAATTTTAGTCCTTTACTACAATAATAATATCTTAGAACAATTCACACAACTATATCTAGTCCCAAGATAAGCAATTTGTATTGTGGTTATTAGATATATACTTTTTTGTTCTATTTACTCAGACCGATACAAACATTATGAATTTTGTATTCATAATGTTTATTTGCTTCGTGCAAGGAATCGAAATAACCATTAGAGGTAAGGCGGTGTACTAAATTGTATAAATTACCACTGAGCCTGTCATAATGGCTCTAACATTGAAATATTTTTTAACGATACTTTTTTATAGTTTCTTTTTAAACTCAATACTATTTGTAATTACCTGGGAAACGGTGCCAATAGGTCTAAAGTCAACGATCTCTGGATGATCCACTTGGTCGTCTATAGATCGCGATTTGGTAAGTTTCTTTAATTTGCCGAAAAGACTCTTCTTTTTCTTTTTGTCTCCTGGTAGGACATCGCTCTGTGCTGATCCACCGGACAAACGACTGGAAAATAATATCTTTCTGTAGGGATGCTCCAGAAGAATTGAATTGAAGGGGGGTGGTTTCTTAGTAATGTGGACTAATGATCCCATTGCTAGTTATGTACCAGGTCAGGTTGACCTCCACTTGTATCCTCCTGGAAATCATTATGATATATTCCTTGTGAATTTGCCACGATGGTCTAATTGACCCTCATGCTTATCTTATAATCTTCTATTGGTGCCATCCGTTCGTGAAGACTGGAGCATACTACCATTATCATTTATTAAAAAATGTAAAAATGAATTGACAATACAATGTTACATGACAAAAACAGTTAAACACTAATTAGGTTTATAAAATTTTATTTGAAAGGAATTTTAACTGTTCTTAAGAAGTTGTTTACCTATCGAGACTGGTATCACGTTGCATTGTAAATAAACGACCATCATCGCCATCTAAAGATTGCATTGATGAGACACTGCTCTCATCTACGGATTTCCAAATTAAGCTCTGGAACATACAGACAATTATTAATATAGTTTATTATCTGTGATCACGTAAGATATTTATTTTCCCACATAGTTTATTGTATCTCGTAGTATAAAAAAGGTATACATACCTGTTCCTTCGTAGTTTGTTCGAGTGAAATGGAACGCTTCTTGAGCGAGGGAGCTCGCGAAGGCGTACGCGACGCTGGCGTCACAGACAGTGTGTCACGTGGCTCTGTCGACATAGCACTGAAAGAAAAACCAGTTCTTTTCTGTACCTACACTCACAGCAAATTGAATTGTGACTAATAAGGACTCTGATACTTTTAAACAATTCTGCAATTTGAAGTAATTTTATTAGTCTGTAACACTTGAAGGAAGTTTTCTGTCGGTTATACATATATATATTTTTTGAGTGCTACACACTTTTTAAACACTGTAAAATCGGCTTTATTTTATGGGAAAAATTGTCTTTTAGAAAACAGAAATGTTAATAAAAAACGTCAAATTACCGTCTGGCACTGGCTTGTTGCCTGCGTTGACGTTCGGCAATGCGGGAAGCTCGTAGCTCGTCGGTGAGGCGCCGCAAGCGTGCTGCAGTCGCCGCTGCTTCAACTGCGCTGTTGGCTTCTGCGCTCTCCGGCGTCGCTGACCGAGATCGGGACTTTGATGACTGCACAATATAAAAGTGTGTGTGTGTAAATATACCTAATATTATAAATGTATGAGTATGGCAGTCTGTTTGTTATGATATCTGATATCTTTTTAGAAAAACGGTTGAATATGATCTTAATTAAATTTGGCGTGAAGATAAAGTTTTCAATGAAAATCACGAGGACGGTTATAGTCTACTTTTTATCTAAAAATAATCTGGAAGCAGGGAAATAGGAAATAAAAGTTAATGCAGACGAGTCGCGAGTTACAGATACTAGGTAAGTATAATATAAACCTGAAGAGACTGAATGTGAAATCTAAAATTAGAAATCGAATTTCGGGAATTATTTTTAATATTTTATTATCGAATCCATGAGGAATTTTATAGTCTATTTAACATTACATTAGAGCCAGATTCTTTGGTTAAATATAAAAATGGCAGTATTCAAAATGTATATTTTTTACAAGACAAGCATTTAAAATTTCCAAATTTATTTAAATTTACACACAAGTATTATATATCATTTTAAAAGTATTTAGATAATGATTAAGACGGCGTGGTTAATTTAATTGACTTATATAAAAGGAGGCAATTCTAGCTTCTAATTTTGAAAAATGACCATTTTCTAGTCAATCGAGGATTTTTTTAATTAGTCTGCAGGTAAAATTACTTATTGAAATCTCAACGCTAAGCTACTTACTCTGTTTCGCCTCGGTGGTGTGGGTGTCATGAGAGACTTTTCAGGTTTTATACCGGATTCGGTACGGAACAGGTCTGGACTTTGCTTCATTAAATCCTCTATTGTCTCCAGTAGCTGTGTTATTATTCTATCATCATCCTGTACAACATATAAGATTATATTAAAATACCTACATAATATTTATACGTAAAAAACAAACGCAAGTACTAGAGTAAGTAGGTAAGTCACAAATATACGTACTCCGTCGCTGTTTGAGAGCCTTTTTTGTCTAATATAATAATAATATATGTATATGTATTATATGTTGGGTAAATAATTATTTTATAATTATTAAGGTAATTAATTCCCTTTATTTTATGTTAGATTTTTGATATAGGTTTTTTATTATAACGATTTCAATCCAATCCATTATATATATATATATAGTATAAAACAAAGTAGCTGTCGCTGTCTGTCCCTATGTATGCTTAAATCTTTAAAACTACGCAACGAAGGATTGTGAGGCAAACAAAATTTTGTCTACTGACTAGGGCACTCATCGTTACCCCATTTTACATTTTACTGTTGTTATTTAGTATATAAGATAATAGATCAATATTACAATCTACATTTTTATCTGTTAATATATATATCGTCTAACGTCTATAATTTTTAAAAACATAATAAATATTTAGTCTATAATTTGTTTGTAGAGTAGACCGCTAGAGTTGTAGTTTACCTGTTGGGCGCGCTTGAGGGAGGTGACGAGCAGCTTGTTCTGGTCACGATCGCGATCGTGGCGCTCCTTATCACGCCGTAATTTTTCATTGGCCGTGCGTAGCTTCGCGTGCGCGTCCCGTAACTCCAGCAGGTCACACTGCAACTCTGTCACCTGATGATTGACATAACGCATTTTTTTATGATCAAGCAGCGTATTCGTGTTTAGGTCTATTCGACAGTAATGCGAAATTATACCACTAATATATAAGTATATTTTGTCACTATTAACCTAGGCTAGTCGGATATTTAAGTGTAGAAATATATAGTAAGATATCACAAACTTCTAAATTGGTTTACAATTAAAGCAAGAGAATGAAATGATATAAATATGGAGAATCACAATCAGTTCAAAAATGTTCAAAAAAGAGAGAGAACCAAACGTTTTTGTGTTTACTTATATTTTGTTATAAGCGAAGGTATATAAGATATAGATATATAAATTATTTATCTATTTATACATAACCTTTTTCTTAGCTTCTTCAGTTTCTTCTTCGGTGGTCCTCTTCAATTGATCTATTCTTCTCTTCATGTCTAATCTCTCCTTATCACGTTCACGCTCCACCTATAATAAAGATAAAAGAAGGAATTACGTTAACAACTATAAAATTCCTTACCTACGATATTCATGTAGTAACTATTAACACTGTGACTATACTAATACGCTTTGTATTATTACTATATTATTCTTATTAAACAGAATCTATGTATGTAGGTCTGTCAAAGTATTAAATATTTTAAAATAGATTCACTATAACTATATTATTAAAATTGTTTACATATGCTGTCGTCATTTGTTAATTACCTCGAAAAGAGTCTGTCTCAAATCTCTGGCAAGTGTGGAAGTCTCTTGAAGTAGACGTTGTTGTTCATCTCGTTCTTTGTGCCACGCGAGCTCCATTCGGGTCGCCAAACCAGCCACTCGCGCTCTACCGGATGATAACAATCGCTCTTCTTCGTACTGTTATGAACCAAACATCTTAAGTTTTAATATCAATTATTAGCGTGGTGGAAAGGTATTTACTGTAATGCCTAGTGCTCCACTGCTAGCAATGCACCTTATCCTGTCAGGTCGACATTCACGCGTTTTACCCCTGGAAACCACAAGTTGTTAATTCCTGATGAATTAGCCACGATAACCGACCTAACTTTATGCTTGTGTATGCGTGAGTGCACCATTCCATTACCCTCCATTAAAAATAAGTTATAATTATGTACTATCCCTTTTGAAAAGAGGTAGAGTAGTATCTTGTCGGTTCAAGCTAGGTACTTTCCCAACTGAAAACATTTGACTTAGACTTATTGTTAGTGTCTGCATTAGACTAAATAAATGCATATTGTTTTGATTTGATTTGATTGAAATGAATGTTACGTAAACATAACAGATGGTGAGGTAAAACAAATTACAATTTATATCCAGTTGGTCGAAGTTCTGCGTACCTCATTTAATCTCGATTGCATCTCCGCTAGACGCACTTCCGCAGAAGATTTTTCACTCACGAGCTCAGTATTAAGTTTGGAAGACAGCATTCGCGCTTCACATAATTCGTCTTCAAGGCATGCCACTTGTTGCTCTAAAGTAGCCACTTTGCTGCGGTATTCTTCCTAATAATGAAATATTAAGAAAACAAATATGTAATTTTGACAAAGACAAGGAAGTTGGAATATAAATGTCCTATGAAATATTTACCTCATCCGTACTGGATATAGATGCTCTTTGAGTTCTTGCGTTACCGCTGTTTTTAATTTCTGCCATTGTTTTCTGTGCCGCATCTAACATCTGTTTATAATTATCTCTTTCTCGCTTGAACCTTGATACCTGTAATCATGTTTGCACGTATGTTTAAACCATGATTTTATTAAAATAATAACAAAATCAGATATTTTTAAATTCTTTGGGGAATAATAATGACCGTCTCGGTTTTTTAGCAGTTTAGTACACCGTCTTTCTTCCGATGGTCGCGGGTTCGAGTGCTCGTACGGTACAAACATTTGTATTCATGAGTGTGATTGTTTGTATCTGGCTGCGTGTTTTCGTGTAGGTATATTATGTATTCGAGTAATGTTTATAGTAAAGTACGGCACAAATTCAATTGAAAACTAAATGTTATTCTGTATACATATGTGTATTTATTCTATTACATATTCTATAAAATATATGTTCAAAATAACTTACTTGATTATGTAACGATTTTAGCTCGTCTCGCATAGTATTCATTTGGTCCTCGTATCTTGTCTTTGTTTCTGTAAGCTCGGTCTTTCTTGCTTTATCTGCTTGTTCCAGTCTTGTATTCAGAGCTGTTAACTCTCGCTCCAGTTCAGCATTATCTGCCGTTAAGCTCCTATGAACTTTTGCCACTTTCTCATAATCTTCTGATTTCTTTCGAACTTCATCTAACTGTGAACAGAAGATTTTGTGTTGTGTAGACAACTGATATAAATGATTAAATATGTTTTTTTTGTAATTACATACATAATAGAAAGAAAACACTCTGACTAGTACCTACAAACAATCATACTCATGAATACAAATATTTGCGTGCGAGGAATAGAACCTACGGCCATCGAATGTAAGCCGGTGCGCTAGACCCCTAGACCACGGAGCCGGACCACTGTTAATATTTTGAACTAATACAAAGTACTTTTAAAGTATATATGTAATGATTCTTACAATGAATTTTAAGAATAATAATACAATTACATAAAAATGTAGTATCGCATAGAAAATCCTTTATTAAACTTAAATGTAGGTTTTTTTTAATTTACTATTCTTTCGGAAAGTTCTTATCACAAGAAACCTGCATGTTGTTCTTTTAAATAGTTGTTGGAACTTTACATTTTAAGTTAACATGTGTGAAAACTACTAATTAGCACTAATTTATAAGTAAGTCAAAATATTAGACACACAAGTAACTGGTTGAGTAACTAAATAAATATTAGTTGTAGTGTTTAGAACAGTCCAGTTCTTGCAAATCCTATTAATATGTATATAATTAAGTGTGTGCCACACTTTAGGGTCTGCATACCTCCTTTTTGAGGAGATCATGATGGTGTGTGAGTACATCGAGTTTATCAGTTGCTGTCCGTAATTCTTGTTCCCGTTGTTCTAAACGTGTGTTTAACCTTGCCCGTTCCACTTCCCATCCACCGCCACATAACCGATCTTGTAGTGACGATATTTCACTCTATTATAACAGATAGAAAAAAAAGGATGGATAAAAGCACAGATTTATTTAAATGAGAGTACAATCTCCATTATTTAGTGCATACTTGCCTGCATATTAGATTTTTCTTTCTGCCATGCTGTAGACTGTGTTTCATAATTATCCTGAACAGTTTTAATGTTGGATAATGCTGCATTTAGCTCTTTTTGAACATGTAACAGTTCACTGTGGACATGAACAATTATTATTAACGTGTATACCTAAGATTTAACATTTCTTAAGACAAGAAAATTAATAAGTGTCTTACCCTTGAGCTTGTTCTTTTTCCACAGTTAGTCGGGCTTTAGTTACTACATGTTCTTCTTCAAGTATTTCGTATTTACCAGTTAATTCTTCATACTCTGCTTTTTCCATCGCTAACGAATGTTCTAGTTCTAAAACAAATAACCATTACTATATTATGATGACTACTATTACAACTTTCATGTAGCAACACATGTAGACTGATTTATGATAAAGTTACATTTAAATCACATTACATAGATGACATTCTATGGTATTTTATCCTTCTTTGATAATCGAAGGTTTGTTTCTGGAACTATCGTTAACTAGTTGCTACTCATAAAATTGCAAAGATAAAAGATCGACTATGTCTGCCTTTGTTCGTAATAGACTAAATTATATTTTAAATTTAATTAAATTTCGTTGAGTCGTAAAAGAGTAACAAACAGACGGACATAATCTAAGACAAACCCATACAGACATTATTAATTGCGAAACAAATAATAATGTCTGTATGGGTTTATATTTATACAATACTTGAGTTATAATCAACCGCATTCAAGAATACTCTAGATACTAAAGATGTATATAGATCTTTTTACTATGATACTATGACAATAATACACATGATATCTTTTTAATGCCATAAACCAATAATTACGCTGCAGGTCAAATGATTTTATTTTTCAGGACAATTCACATAGCGCCATCTAGACCACAGTTACCTAAGCTAGCTAAAGCTTGTGTTATGGGTACTAGATAACTGATATAAATACATAGATTTTACAATTATTCTTTTTTTTATTGAGTGAGCGAAGAAATATGTGCACTGCTGCACTGTTGCACTTTCTGCCTTAATAAGGCAGAAAATGCAACAGAGTATGAATGTGAAATGAATAAAATATTTACTTTTAAGTGATTCTTCGTACTCTTGTTTGAGATCAGCTATTCTTTTGGCGCCTGCACCAGAAGATTGTTCTAAGATTTTTAGTTTACCCTTCAATGTCGCTAGTTCTGCTTCCTTGTTCTTAATGTCTTTATCATGAGCAACACGTATTCTTTCCAATTTTTTACGGTCCGCCTGAATATATAAATTATAATTATTTATAAATAACGATACCTGACAATTATACTGGATACATGGTATGCTTTTTTTTGACTTGATCCAAAATATAGAAATATATTTTTTTTACCCAACATATAACACGAATTTACCTGCAGGTCAGTCTCTAGTTCTGATGCCTTACTTTCCCAGTAACTGGATTCTTTCTTTTCTGATTGCAACTTATTTTCACATTCTTTTTTTTCGTTTTCTAATTTAGAAACGTTAGATTTCAGTTGTGTTGCTTCGGATTGTAGCGTAGAAAGATCTTTTTCGGTCTTACTTAAGTCACCTTTGGCACTTGCTAAAGCTTCATCTCTGTCCTGAAGATCTTTTGTTATCTTTTCTAATTTTTCTTGCATTTGTGCCATTTCAACCGAGGATATAGCTTCATCATACTTTTGATTCGAGGTTTCTCGTAAAGCATCTTCCTAGAAAATAATTTAGATTTAGTCTGCTGCTTAGTTAATTTGATCAACAATAGATTATATTGTGTATTTCCAGACGCTGGGTAACTATTGTGATCATGCGAATAATATAATAGTGGAATGTGCAAAGATCTAGAAATTAATCGGGAATATAGGGATACTATTATAACTAGCAGGGTTCAGATCATTCCTCAAACAAAGTAAACTATGATATGACATGCTACTCGAGATCGTTGGAAACTCGAAATATATTAAATACCAGTTGCTTTATATGAATATCTTTTGCTGCTATGGTAGATTCCAAATGTGTTAATTTATTTTCATATTCGGTCTTCGTAAGTTTTACATCAGCTTCCAAAGCAATAAGTCTGCTTTCAGATTTAAAAAGTTTTGTTTGTAAATCGTCTTTTTCACTAATGAATTCTACTGATAAACGTCTGTTTGAATTGGATAGCGCTACAGCTTGTTCTTTTTCTTCAGAGAGCTAATATTTTATAGGAAAATATTTTTGTTTATTAAAAATGTAATTTATAAGCAATATACATATATTAAATTGACGGTTTCAAACGACACTTACTTCTTTTTCTAATTTTACCACATGATCTTTTCGTAGACTGAGTTGTTTTTCGGTGCGCTTATATTTATCGTCAGTGTCCTTTAATTTCTTTTCTAAATCAACTATCTTTTTAGTTTTATCTCCAATCTGAAAAAATACAATTGATATAATAATTGAACAAAGATTGTTTTTTGTTTTGAATGAAACATTTTATTAACATTATATACCTCTTTCAGCAATTTGCTTTTATCCTGCTCTAATTTAGTAATATTTTCAGATTGTTTCTTCAGTTTTTCAATTTCCTTATCTTTTAAGTCCATTTCTTTTTTAAGATCCTCAATTTTCTTTAAATTATCACTTATCACTGTTTGTTGTGACGAAGCATTTTCTGTAATAAATTATGATTTTCTAAGCAAATGCAATGGATTATTATTTTAGAAATAATTTACTGTTATTATAGTTATTATACTTACTCAAATCCAAATTTAACTTAGATATTTTTGACTCCAAATTTTTGTTACTTTCTTTGAGGGATTTTGTTTCACTGGCTGTATTGTCGTGCTTTGTTTGTATAGTTTTATATTTTTCATTTAAATCCACCTTCTCTACTTCTAACTTTGTATTAAGATCTTTTAATTTACCTATTTCAGTCTGTAGGCGATTTTTTTCATTAATAAATTCAGATTCATTTTTCATCAACTTCGACCTTAAATCTTCAATGTCTTTTTCAAGTTGAGCTTTAGCGTTAATATTGTTAGACGAAAGCCCTGCATTTTTCATTACCACGTACATTTCACCTGTTAAGAACGTAAGGTATGACAAATATTTTATTTTCTTGAATAGAACGTATGCAATACTTAGATATTAAGGTAATAAGTAATAAGATCTTATTTAAATTAAACATATAATCTATTTAATATATAGCTAACTGAAATACTCATACCTATTTCGTTTTCGAGCTCCTCAACCATCTTTTTCATTTGCAATTTAGTTGTCATGTCCGTTAACTTTTTAGGAGTTCTCGGTTTGAAAGTTTTTATTGCGTCATCTTTCAAGGATTTCATCGTAGCTTGTAATTTAGTATTTTCTTTTTCTATCTATAAATACAAATTACATACAATATTGTAATTATTTATGTCTCTTTTAACTTCGTTTACATTAGGAATTTGTCTGACTCAATTGAAGCTTACACATGCTAGATACCGGTGTTATGAGCAACATTGTGGAACCACTAAAGTAAAGTGATATTTACGATTACATTTTTTTAACCCTGAATACTACTAGTATAGTCTCAACTCCCAAAGTAAGCACGTGTTATGGGTACTAGATAACTGATAGAAAAAAACATTTTATTTGTAAATAGATATATTATAAATATAGAACACCCCCAAACCAATACAAACATTCATACTCATTACTACAAATGTTTGTATAGTGCAAGGAATCTAATTCGCGACCATCCAAAGCAAATTAGTGTGCTAGACCGCTAGACCACTGAGATGGCAAACCCTTTAATTCAAATACTTATGTTAATTATCGTACTAACTTTAAAAAAATAATAATAAAAATTAATATTTTAATTATATACTAGATTCGATAGCGGTACATAAAAAAAAATTATGACTGTTCAAAAGTGTTTAAATTAAGTTTATTTGAATAAATGATTTTCTATTCTATACTAGTGTACTTATAAAATTCATCTATTTGTATACCTTATTGTAATTCAGTTTTAACTTATCATATTCATCCTGTTTAATTTTCAGAGCATCTGCATCTTTTTTATTAATTTCACTGCCGAATCTAACTTTCTTTTCAGCTTTTTCTTTGCTTTCTAACTCCTTAATTTTTTCTGTTGCTTCTTTTAATTCATTTTCGAGTCGACTAATCTTATTTGCATTTAGTTCTAATGATTTGTCTGATTTCAATGTTTTAGTACCTTTGAGCAGCTAGAAAATATTAAATTATTACGTATACTGATAAGATAATATTATTACAAGATTTGGTTGGTAATCATGTACCTGTAATTTTTTATTTTCAGCTTGTAGTTTTTCATTATCAGCCTCTAAACTTTGCGTTTTACTTCTCAAAACACATGCTTCTTGCTCTATTACTTGTAGTTGTCGTTTAAGATCTACATTTTGTTGTTCACTTGTACTATCAAGAGACCTAAAAATATAGTTTTCGTTATGAAATAATAGTGGAATTAAAAGATCATTAAATTAAAACCACTACTTACTTGCTTTTAATTAGTGAAGCTTTAGGTTTCTTTTGTGCAAGACTAAGCTCTGCATGTAAACGTTCGCAGTCACGTTCTTTCTCGATTAGTTTTTTCCGTAGTTCTGCTATTTCGTCCTCTAATACCTAATAAAATTGAGAAATGTGATTAATCTATAGCAATAGTGTAGTATATCAGTGGTTTAGTATATTTTTATTGTTATTACCTTCACTTTTTCTTCTGCTAAATTATTACTTTTACTAGTATTACGTCTAAGATTTACAGTTGTATTTGAAGTTTTGCTTGTGGTATTAGCAACTTTATCTGTAAGTTCTTTTACTTGCTTCTTTAATGACTCTCTATCTTGTTCTAATTCTTCTGCCTTTCTGCGAAGAACCGCTGCTTCCTGAAAATAAACGCAATGTTTAAAATGTATTTATTATCATGAGTTAATTTATAGTAAAAGTAATGTCGATTAAAATAAAATACTTGTTCGTTAAGTTCAAGAAGTAGCCGCAATTCTGCTGGGTCTTCTTCGTCTGAGATCCCTTCATCCTTTTCATTAGGTGCTTCAATTGCAAGTCTATTCGTTGGAGGTGTCGGAGATAACTTACGGGCTGTAATATAAATTCTAATTAATATATCGCATTATATATACATAATATATTTTACGAATCAAAGAAACAACACTTCAGTAAATATTAGTAGACATTTGTTAATAAAGTTTAAAGAAAAATTAGTCAAATTTATAGTCACAAATAAACCAGTCATGTACATTGACGGTGTTATTCTTTTATATTTACAAATCATGTAATGAATACGCCAGAATACAAAACGAAAATATTACAAACTGGAGAAAATGGCTACCATCGATACGTCAGCTCATACACAATAAATAACGCAAAGCGTGTTAGTTATGCCTACTTCGAAGGATTGCAGAGCGAAAAGACAAAGTACCACCTTCTAATGTGGTTAATAAAATATTAATAATGATGAAATGTTAAAGAAAAAATATTATTTTATATTAATGGGTAGAAGAGGGGTTTGGGAGTCGATTACACAAACCAGAAGGATGTTTCGTAATTTAATTAGTTCGACGTACTTCTGGCTTTGGTAGCCATTTTCTTCAGCTGTAGTAGTAAGGACTCATTGTCGTCCTCGACCCGTGATGCTGTTTTACGCAAATTATTTGCCTGAAAATATTCGTTAGTTGTTAATATAGGTACTGAAGAAATTAAAGAATATTATGGTTACAGTATCCATGGGTTAAAAACATTTAAACATTTTCACAAAATATGTACCTATAGTTGGTAATCTTACAGCCAAAGGACTAAATAATGATACAAAAGGATAAGAGAAATGATTTGATGGACCTGCTGCAATTTTATCAGGAGACAGAGGTGGGCTATCAGATTTATCTTTTAAATCCTCGTTACTTTCATTTGATATATCACAAATTATTTTATTGTCACTACTTAGTGGAAGTAACTGATTTAAATTAGTTGTATCTAAATCCGTAAAAGTTTCCTGATTACACATTATTTTTATTTCCGTTTCAGTACTAGTACTGACGAAGCTTTTACTGTCTTTAGTAGTTTGTATAATAGCATCACGAAGATTTTGTCTTCCTGTTTGCGTAAAATTGTTGATCTGAAGAAAATCGGTTTGCATGTTTTTATTTTTCATATAAATTATATCCGTTTGCACATACGTATCTAACATCTCATTTTCGCATTGTACAGTAGATTCTAAAGTAATTTTCCTAGTATCCGTGGCTTCGTCGTACGTTACTATTAAATCAGTTTGACAGGCTTGAGAGTAACTCTTGATATGGTCATGTGGCGATTGAGTTACTTGGTTAATACCGATAGACAGCCTACTAATTTCGAAAGAAGATAAACTATTTTCCAAAGCTCTTTGCATTTCAAGAATACGACGCATTGAATTTGAGTCAATATTTTCGGTATCGTTTACAGCAGTATTCTGAGATGGAATTAGATTGGGATGGGATGGCTGTGAAATTTTCGTCGATGGAGGTAGTCTTCTGCCTCCGAAGCGTTGCCGATATCGGCTAGCCTGTTCAGAAATAAGTGCTCATTTAATTTTTGTTGTTTTTTTTCTGCTAAGTCATAACGGAGAAAGAGCATGCGACTTGCGTGCCTCATATAGACAATAACAATATGTCAGGTACCGTATATATGGATTGTGTATTTGTGTCCCGGCGTTGAGTCAGTATATGTTTGGCAGTCAGCCAGTTGGCGACTAGTCTTAGAGCTAATGCCCTATTAAATGCAGATTGTTCACTATTAACACTAAGTGATTAGAGTATAAGTGTAACTAACGGAATATAGTTAATATTTAGCTTGTAAAAGTATGATATAATATTCGAATTAACCAGTCGATTTCATGTACATTATGTTATTAAACGTGCATACCGACTATCGTAATAAGTAGTAAAGTACTTCATCTTGATACAATTTGCCACAAATAATAATAATATCGTTTGTTGCTTAAATATTATAGATCATACCTCCTCTTCAGCATTTCGCAACTGTTCTCGTAGGTCAGCTTCGCGTTCTAACGAGTCCTGTAGATCGCGTAGTAACTGTGCCGGATCTTCTTGACTGCCTCCGCGTGTAAGGGATGACCGCGATACTTTCTGATGATATTAATATGCTTTTATTACTATTGAACTTCAAATGACTTGATTATTTATTAAAAATATCTAAATTAATTGTGCATACTGGTTCTGTCATGATTTAGTTGCAGAAGTCACGAGGTGTCGGGGGGTATATATTTATAATACATACAATTACTTACGTGACCTTTACCTCTAAATTTTTATGGTTTATTACTTCATACGGTGGCTATGAAATCGCTTTTTACAACATTTATTAGTTGTAAAAGTAGCGGTGACATACTTGTAATGTATGTAGCTTTGTAAAATAAATTATAAAAAAAAAGGTAAAATTACCCCGTCAATTGTCGGTTGTTTTTTGAGGTTGGCGGGTGGCGCGCCTGAGGCCGCTGCAAGTTTAGTGGTCGCATCTGCTAGCTCACGCTGCAGCCGTAATGCCACCTCCGTTGACCGTGCAACCTCCTGTTCCAATTCTTTTATGCGATTTTCTCGTTGCAGACCCTCCTGTCCACCCACTATCTGTAAATCATAGTACAGGTATTAAAATGATTTCAAATGCATGTAATGAAGATTTATTTCATTATTACCATCATTGTGCCCGTAATTGTTGTGTTCATGGGATGACCATGAACATTTATTACGTTACGCATCTATAAGAATATGATTTCTTAATTCTAAAAAACGTCTAATCGTATCTAAAGTATTAAAGTACTCTTACTTCTAAAAGCTTTTTCTCCTGGTCAGCCTTATCTTGTTCCAGCTGATCAGCTTTCCTCTCAGTCTTTTTTAACTTAAACGATAATACTCTACAATTTTTTATTGTTTGCTCTAATTCTCTTCGTAATGAGGAGTATTCATCGGCTTGGTCCTCCCTGAAATTAAAATTATTAAATAGCCCAAAATTATATTAGTACTAATAGACAAATAGTTAAAAATATTATTAAGTTGAACCTAAAATTGTCTTGCATTTCCTCTATTTCCTCTTCGAGGTCACGCAGTTCTTTTTTCATATCTTCATTCTCGTCCATCAACTCTTCGCATAGGGTTTCAGCTGCAAGCAACTTTGCCCTTAATTGTTCTACTTGACGTGTTTGTACTTCAGCTGATGGTCGAGACTGAAAAATATTAAGTGTTAATTAAAAAATTTAATAGATACAGATTAAGTTGTGTGCAGTAATAAGGTAAGTTCACTAAAGTCTACATATTTTTATTTAAGCAATTAAACAATTTAAATAAAAACAGAATTTCAAACCAAAAACAGAATTTAACACGTAAATATCTAATTGTTGCGAAACAAGTATCAGTCACCTCCAGTTCAGACTCGATTTCTTTCACTCTTAACGAAAGGTGCTTCTTCTCATCCTTCAAATCTTCATTCTGCGCCGTAAGTTCGTTAACCTTCTGCTGTAACTTCAGTACCTCGGAAGACCGCCCCGTCGTGTACTTATTGGCCGTGTCGATGTTCGCTAGCCGCCGGAGCAAAATATCGCTTTTCTCTTTTTCCACCCGCTCGCAACGCTTCTTGAGTGTGTCAACTTCTTGTCTTAGGCTTTCAATTTGCTCCTAGAAGAACTCTTAGTATTTTTCAAATCTAGAAAGAAGGAGGAAGTGCACTTGCCGCACTACCGCATGGGCAGTACGTACAGTATTTAAATAAATACATAGGTTATGTAGGAATAGTATCAGATTTTATAGTGTTGTCACATATCAGCCGTAGGTACAGTTAGGTAAAGTTTTTTTTTAATTACCCATATTTTTTCATTTGCTTGGACTAAATATAATACACTTTTTTGAAAAATAATAACAATTTAAATAGATATATGATGCAAATAATGTTATTAGATTAAGTGGTGATTATCACCTAACCATTAGGTTATAAAATCTTATTTAGACACTGCGTTTAAAAAACTAATAGTGTTATTGAGAGATTTTCTAAGATGAACGTTGTAATTATTTTATATGAAAGTATCTTATATTGCGATCTGTTACCGAACTTCAATACTGAGTGCTGTAAGCTAGATTTTGAAAAGTAGTGCTGCGGCATTGGTAATCCAGAGCTGTTACTAAATACGTCCTTGAGTGCATAACGAATGTAGGCTATCACAATAGTTTGTTTTTATTATGTCTGCCAACATACACATTTTCGCTCCAAAATCACATCGTTAATTCAATATTCAGATCATTCCAGTTTTTCGAAAATATACTGAATGTAAATAGACTATATGTGTTACAAAAAGAAACATTTGTGAAAATGCATTGACTTTGAATAGTGGTATCCATGAATATTGCGTGTAAGCAAACAAAGGTACAGGATGATCTGTAGATGAAAAATGTTACTTTTCGTAAACAATTGCAAATTTTCATTTTTAATATCATTAGAATGAGTATGAATGAAATCGATAAATAAAATTAAGTAAATATTTATAAATAGTTTTTATGTGGTACAAGTATTGTACCTAGCTTATAATCTTTCTAAACTTCCTAATAGGTACGACGTATTGAAGATGAGCGTATTTCTTCTTCTTACCTATCTATCAATGAGTTCGAAGATTAACAGACGTTGAAATTCATCATTATTAAGAACTGAATTCCGCAGGAATATTACTAATCTAACCTGATATTCCTTAACATTGGCATCTACTAGAGTGGTCTCCGTGGTGACCGTCCCAGATGTACTAGCATCGTCATCTGAATCTTCCTTTTCACGCGACGGTCCGCCTCGTATAGGTGGTTTTGTATTTGACGATGAATTTCGTGAGCTTTTCACCTGTACAACATAACATGTTATTCAAACAACTATATGCGCGCTCACCTTCAGAAACTGTCTGAAACCATTCTCCTGGAAATAATACTACGAGATTTTATTCAACTCGTTACATAATGTTTCAACAGAGAACCTTTCGCCGACTAAATATTTGAATAGGAAATTATTGGACTGGCTGATGACTATGGATGTACATGTACGACTATGTACTTGGTAAGTAATTTTATATCTATTTAAAATATATGTAATTTTACTTTCATCTTATAGGTACTCATGATTCTTTTTATACTTCTTCTTCATTAGGCCAATAAAATTTTATGTGGTCAAATCTGGAAACCTAATTTTATTACTAAAACAGAGTTTTATATATATTATATTATATTTATTATTCCCACTTGAAATTGTTGACATGAGCTGTTATAATATAACTATTAATGAAAATATTTTCTTTTACCTGCATTAAAAAATTTACATCATCTTTTGTAGCAAATCTGTCTTCTTTAGATCGTACTGGCTTCTCTTCTTCTTTACTTCTGGACAAACTTCTTCTTTCTCTTTCTTTCTCCATACTAGATTCTTTTTCGAAGCTGTTTTGATTTTTTATTAGTTGCATCTGCAACAAATATACTCATTTTTATATGTAGTAGGTTGTATAAGCCTTATACAATTATACCTAAAATATGAGGATAGACATTAGGTCTGAAATTGTATACCAAGTTTATGGTCGATACCAGTTTTATTGTCTTCAATATGAGCAAGTTGGACTGAGTGCGTATGAACAGAGTTCTTTGGTATCTATTTTTCTCTACCTACCTTGTTTGCCGCCATAGGAGTATAAAAAAACCTACCTCCCAAGGGATCTGGTTTGGTGTGAAAATAGTAAAGAAAACTGAAAAGTATTCAAGTAAACAGAAAAGTGGTAAATTACGACATATAAATTGCATAAGTTGGTCATTTCCTCAATTAATTATAACGCTTTGCACATTGCCAAGCACAAAGTTTGATGACGACCTTTTGTGTTTATTTTGAGTAGCGCATCGCTACATGCTGGATTGAAACGCAGACAGTTCTTCGGCATGACCCACTTAATTTATTTTTTACGCATATGTATGGGTATTCAAGGTGAAAAATCTATGTTTGTACGACTTTGTTTTATGTGTAAATTCCTGTATAAGTATATCATGAGTTATTATGAAATATCTATTTTATATTATCTATTCATGCATGAATACTTGGGATAATTTTAAATGTCCGTGGCGTTTCGTTGGAACTCGAAAACCGAATTATCTATGTACCTACACTTTCATAATTATTTCACACTCGTATCTTTATTTCTATAAAGCTCCCTTTGACGTAAAAAGTTATACACGAGTAAAAGAATAATTGAGACGATGGTATGAATTGTAATAGGTATGAGTATGTTACACAATATATTGAATCACCAATATCCGCTGGGTCGCTTGTGAACTATAATTTTATAGCCAACTACGTCAACAACATCGTTTATACAGAGTGTCGTTGTCAAATAATTATTTCCATTACCAATAATTATTTTCTTTTCAATTGAAATAGTAGATTCAAATAAGATTACGAAACTTTTTTCCAAAAGGTCCTTTAAAAAATGGAATGTTAGAAATCAGGATGACGTTTATTCTGTAGGGTTGCATTTAGACTTTAAGAATTTACGACACTGTTATCGAACGTAAGTAATGAGATCAATTGTTTACCTTGCGAACACGTTCTGCGAGTGAGTCATTCTTTGTGATGACCACGGCAGGAGCTGGAGGTGGTGATGGTGACGGCCGCCGCAGTGTCACTGTGTCTGCTGAATAGCATAAGTTGCTGTAACTTATTACTTATTATACAATCATTACAGTTGATTTTTAACTTCCAAGGAAGAATATATTTTCAGTTCCTAAATATTCTATATATGACCACCCAATAAAAGTACCTACATATTTTTTTAATATTAAAAGAATGCCCAGCGGACTCATTACTACTAGATATTAACATTATGAAGAACGAGATATACCTACCTAAAGCAAGCAAACATACCAAAAATATTTTCACTTTAGTTATAAGTAACGGTCATTTCCGACTTCGCCTGGCATAAACAATATATTTAATAATAGTCTGTGATAATCTGGGATACTACTATGGAAATTAAATTAAGATTTTATTAAAGAAGATGCTTTACCACACCACATTAGTCTTTATGCAACTTTGGGGTTGCATAAACCCGTGAAAACGCATTCTACGTTTTCAACAAATGTTTCACAGACAGAAAGTCCGTTGTATATTGCCTACAAATAATATTTTAATTGCTATAACTTCAACTTTACAGAACTCTTCTAAATAATTCAAACTAGTATATTGTGTTGTAATACCGGTATTACTTTGCCCCGTGTCTAGTGAGATTAGGGGTCCAGTAAGCTTCCGCTTGGGTAGTTTGAGGCTGACAGTGACTGCAGTCGTGGATTCTGCGTCATTGGCCCCCAGGTCTGGCGTTGACGTCCACGATGCACTGATTCTACTGAACCCTGTGCAACCGACAACAATTGTGTTTTATGTTGTGCATAAAACTATTACATAGTACTTTCTATATAATCTGTAATTTTAATTTTATTACCAATTTATATCCACAGATTTTAAAATTACAATATCGGAAGGGGTTTCTAAGCGCCAGTGATAGTGTCTATAATTAAATAAAAAATGACTAACTTTTACAAATACATCACTATCGACGAGTTGATCGGAAGAATTAATTTTTTGGTATGTGTAGGCCAAATTCGAATTATTCTAAACATATTCTACTAATTCGCTAAGTATAACCTATATAATTTGGAATAGTAAGGCGCGGTCGCGTCTTGTTCTTTTAATAACACACGAGCTGAGTTCTCATTTGATGGTAAGCGTCAACCATAGCTTATATTTGTGTGATATACACAGGTGTACATGAATAGTACCATGGATAGCACAAGTCAGCATGTTACACCCGTGGAACCTCTCATATTTTGCCATTCTGGAGGACTAAGGTGTTATTCCACCTTACCCTCTGATTTAATTGTCGTTTTTCACCCTTAACCGATACACAGAACATGCAAAACGACAAAAATAACAAAGCAAGCCGAAATAGGTAAAACAGATGTGCTTAAGACATTACACATTATAATGAAACAAACGAATATTGAGCGCGGCACTTCCTCGATATTTGTTTATTTCCTTACAGTAGGTATTATTATATATAGATAGGTATTATTATACATGACCTGAAATTAGTAAAGAATATGTAGAATACCTGTGGAGAAGTCTTTTTTGGGAGGTTCGACAGAGCTGAGATTTGTGCTAGAAGCCCAACCGCGACCGGACTTCTCCACTTCTGCACCATTTTCTCCATCTCGACTCCTGTGTAAATATAAACTATTGTTATATTGCCCAATTAGTCTGCGACTTCCGTTTGGTGTATGTTACTGCGACTTGGGTCCGTGAGATTATTTGATATATCTAACGAAAAACAATAAGTAGATACCTAAATTATTATGAAGACTATTTTACCTTATTATTCTAGGCGTTGTTTGATAAGATTAATATAAGATGTTGATACCTACAATTGGGATTGCCAATTGTAGCCTATTACTGAAGTTGTTTTCAATTAATAGGTACCTGTAATAAAAAGTTATTATAGTCTAATATACTATTAAATTATAAAGGAAAGGGAATTGTTAGTAATGTGAACTAATTACTCCATTGCTAACAATGTACCAAGTCCGGTTGACCTCCACGCGGTTCTCCCTGGAAACTATCGTGACAAATTCTTGGTGAATTTGTCACGATGGGCCAACTGCCCTCATGATGAGATGAGATGAGCATCTTATCAATTTCCACTGGGTGCCCCGCCGGCGTAAACCATTAGCGCAGGCGGGTGTATAAATCCATTATAATCCATAAAAAAAAGAAATTTAGATATGTAGGTATATATTTACTGTTACTGTTTACATGCCATTGTCAGTATGTATATCAATAAACAGTGTTGTATTGTATGTGAGATCTGTGGGATAGTGTCTATAGTATTATACATGAATAAAACATTGTAAAAAATCGCTTTTCTGTATTCAGGAGGACTACAATGTCTTGTCTCGTCTGCTATAATTTTACTGTACTGTACTGTTTAAGCGAACAGCTTGTGTCTGAAATTGAAAGTACTCTCAACAGTCTCCGATTGGTGGCGATTAATATAACTTAGTTCAATTCAACCCTACCAAGACATAAGCTTGGGCGTTCACCGCTAAGAAAATCCCTTTTGCTGTGGCTCCGCAATTCCAGATCACGTCCATTTCCATCTCTCAAGAGTATAGGGATTCTCGGTGTCGACATCTCTAGCACAGTTGAGTTCCGTAGTCACCTCGAAGAAAAGGTCAAACTAGCGTCCAAAAAGCTCGGTGTGTTAAATAGAGCGAGGCGGTACTTCACTGCGGATCAGATACTTCTCTTGTACAAGTCGCAGGTTCGGCCGTACATGGAGTACTACTCTCATCTTTGGGCAGGAGCACCTGGATACCAGCTCGGTCCTTTTGACTCGGTTCAGAGACGTGCTATGAGGATTGTCGATGATCCCAATCTCTCAAACGGTATCGAACCACTTAGCTTGAGGCGAGACTTCGCATCGCTTTGTGTGTTCTACCGAATATACAACGGACTGTGTTCTGATGAATTGTTTGACATGATGCCTACGGCTACCTTTTACCATTGCACCGTTCGCCATCGACAGGGAGGGAATTCATCCCCACGCACCACACACACATGGTCTCGGACAGTGCGGTTTTAGAGGAGCTTCCTCCCGCGTACAGTTAGATTGTGGAATGAACTACTTGTCGAGGTTTTCTCGAGAGACTACAGCATGGGGTTTTTCAATAAGCGTATATTAAGGTTTCTTACGGGTCGGCAACGCGTATGTGACACCCCTGGTGTTTCAGGCGTCCATAGGCTGCGGTAACCGTTTACCATCTGATGAGCCGTATGCTTGTTTACCACCTACGTGGTATTAAAATAAAAAAAAATAAACTGTCTTATCTGAACTGAGACACAGGTTAAAAAGGAAACTGCTTAGCGACTGAAATTGGTGAAAAGTGTACCTCACTTTCATCTTGACATGTTACTCCACCGGAAAATACAACGCACAAGTGGTATCAGGTGCGACATCATGTCGCGATGTCTGTTATGCCTTTCATCTATTTATATAAGCGACGATTAGCACTTACCATCAAATGGGCTGTTAGTCATATTAGTAGTCTACGTACTAGCGGGATATTGTTAACCACATTGCTAGACATACCCAACACAGATTTAGAAAATCTTCAAAAGATTTAGTCACTTCTATATTGATACATATTATAGGTACTTTTTTATATAACTAAAGCTCTACTACCAACTAATTAGAAGATATTATAAGATTCAAAAACCTATAAATTAGAAGTTCTACCAATATTTTTTTAGTTTTTATTTGGCCGAGGTCTATTCTTACTTAATCGGGAGCACCATTCCATATGCATTCATAAAAAAGTATGGTGCATCCGCCTATGCAAACAGTATGTAGATATATGCAGACGGGACTCATAAGGACGTTAATAGAATGATGATGAAATGAAGGACATACCTCTTCAATCACGGTGAATTTTCCAGAAATAACGACAATGGGCTCTAGGAATCGTGTGGAGGTCTATTGCCTCATACATTTATTACATCTACAATATGCTTATGTGGTGGGCGATTGTAATGCATTTCTCTTAAATGTCGTTATACAATGCTCTACATGCCATGTCGGTATTTGGAACTCCTTTGTGTGTCTTTGATCGGTCGTTGATTGGATTGATTTGAGATGGTTGATAAGAGATAATAATATAGATAGTTATCTACACCATATATTAGGTGCATACCGGGAAAGTGAAAATTTATGAATATGTAGATACAGATACAGTACCTATAATTATATGGTAGGTACCAACATAGTTTCAAACCTGCTTGGAGTATCACTAAGGTAGAATAGTAATCTAATACCTACCTAAGTATAAAGTGTTATGTACCATAATAATGAAAGAGCTATATTAAATATATGTATAATATGCACCAATAATTTAAATTATGTAATAGTATCTGACTAAAGTTTGAAAAGGCAGACAATAAGTCGCAGCGGGTACGCAATGCATCAATTCCTCAGTAAGACCGTTGCCGGACGCAATGCAAACAATTTGCTCAATCGGTCAGGAATTTGGAATTCTGCCACGTTTCTCGTTTTTGTTTAGGTACATTAAATACGAATAATTGATACACATACTTCGCTGTATGAGGTAAATTAATTTATATTAGTTTATTCCTCGCACAGATTTTGTTTTACGTACATGTAATCATCGTTTAACCCTACTAGAATTAAAGTTTGTTTATAAATAGGTATCTATGTACCTATATAGTGTAATTGTGTAGGTATTTATGTGTTTTGTGTCATTAAACCTGGCATTGACAATGCATGCAAAGGATGCGGTCCATATGGGTAACAAGGCATAGCGGAGGGATATTTAAGCAATTCTGTTTTTTTTTTTATTTCGATAGTGTACGGGCCTTGGTTCCAGAGAATTTTAAGAAATTGACATTTATATTTTGAAAATCTGGTAATGAATATTGCCGTCCATCCGTAATCCATGCCGTCGATACAAAGATGCAGGCTCTTTTAACACTACAATCTATTCGAGCGTACTATCCATAGAAGGTTGTATGAATATTATACTTTAAAACGTTTCATATTTACACCCCAGTGAGAAATGTAGCTCCCATATGAAGCGACATTCTGTTATTATACATTGTCCAACAGAGAATGCTGTTATGCAAATAGTACACTAATATATGTATATATTTATACACTTTAATATTGCTCTTACAGAGTTCATGTTGAGACTTTACCCTAAACACAACGTGTTGCAATAAAGGATTTGTATTACAAAATGATAAAGGTGATCGTCTTCTTATAATACTTATGGGAAAGTAAGTGTGTTTGCTACCTTTGGCATTTTTAGAATTCAAGCAAATATGGCGTAGGTAAGCAGCACGTAGTATTTGTGATGGTGAAGGACACAAGGACTTTTATTCGAGTCTAACAGTTTGCTCCGCTCACGCGGGTAACGTCAATTAATAGAAATACCTATTAGTGACTGGAGCAAAAGGATTCACTGGAGCCTTATCTCTACCTGTTGGCCCTCCTTAACGATCTTGTTTAAAATAATATTATATAGTTTATACTTACACCTAACACAAGAAGTAATAAATGTACGATATGATATATACGATACGATAATATAACACCATCTAATTATTCAATTCCAAAACCATTGATCGTGTATCATTATTGCATAGATTACATGACACTGACCGTGATACTGGTGAGTTCCAAGAGGAAAGACTGGGTGTAGAAGCTGTGAAATCATCCTCTTTCTTGCGGCCGCCACCGTGCTCTTTGTAGTCGCGAAAGCAGCGCTTGCATCGCGTCGGCCACCGCACCTGCGGGTGGAAGCCTAGCGGACACAGTGGGTCCCCTTTCGCTAACGGGTACAAGTGATGCATATTCCCAACACACCACACAAATCACAGAAATGCACTTCACAAATGACTTGGGTTTCAACTAAATGCCACTACTATTTTATGTCCAAATTAACAATCACATTCGTAATAGTCTTACGCGATACAGTTTTTCGCAGCGATTCTGGCCTTATCTATCCTACAGATACAAAGCTACAGTCGACAACACATAATGTAAATGTTTATGGAATGAGCTTTACGATTCTACTCTATAAATAATAATTGATTTAACAACGTGCTCGAGGCGCTCGTACGTCTGCACCCAACAGTGGCAATAAAAATATCCCGCTGCTAGCACTGAACCGGGCGACCTAAATCGGCTCCTGTGAACCGGCTACTATTTCTCTGACTTTCTAGGCGCGTAAATACTGAAACTAGTTGATAAGTATCAGTACCTATATATTTTACAACCGGATCATGGAATTCCGTAAGGTGTATACCTAACTATAGAAGAAGTGGCAGACAGTAAAACGGAATTTGGGGTGCGCAGAAGATGAGTGCGTATGGGGTGCGTATGGGCGCGGCGCAAGCGGCGATCGGGCCGGCGCTCCGGGGACTGGCGGCTGAGCGGGCACACAGCCAACCTGCGACGCTTGCCTGCTGCGCCACTTATGTTGTATTATACCACATGCTCTAAACCATTGCTTGTGTTTTGCCCGTTAATAAAAATAAAATCAACCCGCTAATAAAATGCGCGTTGTCTCTCTTGTACCGACTTCGGCCGTTGTGTTCCCGCTTGCATTGTGAACTGTTGCAATAATTAGCTATAAACATACCTTTCCAAAATAGAAATCGCGGTGTTTGCGGCGCAATAAGGTTGATGCGACTCACGCCAACGTAAAATAACGCTTCAAATAACGTTAACGCGTCATAATAACTTTATGAATGAGCGTTGACGTCAATTTGAGTAAACGTGGAAATATTCTGAAAATAATACTTATCCTAGGACCTAAGCGTCACTTTAAACCAAAGTAAGATACATATCTTCAATTAAGTATTATGATACTGTCATGTCTCAGAATATATAAAAACAGCTAATTATTGAGTATTTTATTTTTCAATTTTTGTACATTTTTCACATTTTATTGGTGAGGTTTTGAGTACAATTTAAACAGTTTGAGCCTTAAAAGATTAAGATAATTGTAGAAATAAATTCGATATAATCCTGCTTATTAGTTTTGGCCCATTACATAATTACTTAAGATTTTGATACCAGAAAAATATATTTATAACTAGCTAAAACAGGATATTACATAGAACATTGAGTTTTTATTAAATATACAAAAATATTTAATTCTACACTTATAATATTTTTTATTGTGGAGTCTACTATTGAAAATATTAGAGTTTCATTTTTTTAATGGAATATATTGATATATACACTATATATATTATAATATTGATATCTTAGTATCATTTATATAACTATATAGTATATATTCTACAATTCTCTGGTATGGCAAATATTAGTTCAACGAAAAGCGTCTATTTCAATTTTCTATCTTTCAAAAAACAGTAACAGTAAAGTTTAATAATATAATATATTAAAAACAAAACTTGTTTACCAACAGTCTTGAGCATAGTTTTTATCGTATATATATGTCATTATTTAAAGTCTTATAATAAAGTACAGTCAGGTACAATATTAGATACACATTTAAGATTATTCTTTTATATGTTTAGGCGATGATTGTGACCCAGTAAACAATTTAGCATGAAGACATATATATAAGTAAAGAAACGTTTACAGCTTTTTTTTAAATGACAATATACATTGTCGCTTATCACTTTAGCCTATGTTAGCTATATTTTATATATACCACATGTACGCACCAAGTACGTGCTAAAATGATGTACTAGGTACAGATACAGGAGCTAGTTTAGCAGAAGTCACCCTTGTTTAGGGGCTCATCTTCTTTCTTGTCATACACGAGGGTCTTATAAATAACTTCTTCAAAGTGTAGCGCATTCAATCCCTTAGGTTCCGCCACCTTGATTTTTACGTCGCCTGGATACAATATCTCTCCCTTATTTTTGGTACTACCCATAACAAGAGACTTTTGAAGTTTATCAATACATGGTATTTCTGAAAAAAAAAAAAACGATCCTAATGTAAGATTTTTCCCAAATAAAACTCTATTAAAATTGCTATTATAGGTACTGTTAGGGTTCACATCGATATTGTCGAAAAATCTGATATTTTATATTAAAAGAAGGTAGTTTCATTATTACTCGGTATCGTTAAACTAGTTGCATATAACCCCCACTCATATCTTCTCTGTATAAAAGGGAGGGTTTTTGTAGGCCGCAGTAATAGTCAGTGCGGTCGACTACGCACAGGATGTGCTGGTTGTATTTTAATTGCTAAAGTGAATTGTGTTAGAGACATAGTTAAATTAATGTTATATATTTTATTATAATACATACTTTTACTAGTACATAGAGTTGATATATCTGACAGTACTAATGCAAGATTTTCCTAAAAATAAACACTATAAAATTGATATGGGGTCAATATAAGAGAAAGTCATATTGATTGTAAAAACCAAATCGTGGTTACGTTTAGTTCCGGCAAAAACCACGAAAAGTCAAAATATAAGGAACGAAGTAGATATCTAATGTTATTATTGTATCCAGTCACATTATTAATGAAATATAAGTTACAGCAAAACATTTATGTATAAAATTAGTTTCGATTACGTACTCGTAAATACAATTGTTTTTGAACATTTATTACCTTGTTAACAAAGTAGGTATTGGGTAGAAGACCGCCATTTCCACAAAGTCACAATATTATATTTAGTAGGGCGACAGAAATTCACACATTCATATAATTTCTATCACAGTTCAACTGGCTACGCACCTGAAGTAACAACCTTTTTGATGGGCGTACCGAGGGAGGCTTCTATTACGCGCACATCTCGCACCAACTGCTGGAACTCTGGAGGAGTCAACGAGCATATGTGGTCCGTGCCTTTCATAGTCTTATCTAGTGTTATGTGCTTTTCCAAAACCTGAAATCAATTATGAAAATTTTCACAACACGCGATTCGACTGATGATTTAGGTACTTTTAAACCGACTGCCAAAACCATGGCATTGGTGCTATACTAATTTCACCACTCTTAATAGGTATAAAATGTAACAACTAAAGTAAAGTACATGGTCAGTTGTAAAAAGAAATAAATAAAGAAAAATATTTATTGTGATGTTTTTTAATAGTCATGCTATATATTAATATTGTTCATTTTCATATCTGTGGTCAGAATTATCAGAAGGTTAATCAAAGAAAATAAACATCTTATAAATAGGTACCTACACTATTTCTGTGATCGATAAATTTCTCATTACAGAGATTTAAGTCTACTGCAACAATAATCGAGTTTTAAAATTAGAACTCTTACGCACAGACGTCAAAATACTCATGATTCGCATTCAACGTTAATATTTAATTTAAATCTCGTAACCGGAACTTAAATAAATTTGGATAGCCAAAAATAATTTTCTCTATGAATCCACAGGCCTTCAGGTATAATATATGTACTTGTTTTTACGAGATTGCACGTGATAATTAATAAGAAATAAAATTTTGTGATTGTACATATTCTTATTCGCAGAGGTAAAAAAAAATGCATGTAATTTACTCGCCCGAGGGTAACAACTTGCAGGTGTAGGGGTTTACCTACTAAAGAAAATAAAGAACATAGTCGACAAGTAAAATATACGAGTATGTAGGTATAAAGTATCTAATCTTTGAAATCAAGAATTATTTTATTTATATTAACCGGACAGTTATTGATAAATTTTGCTTGAACGGTTGAAAATTATTTTCATATTTCGACTGTGAGTGCTCCATTAGTATTTATTTAGATTTATGAAAACTATGACTGGGTTTCGCATTTGTGTAAACTATTGGTAATGTATATAACATTGCATGGCCGTAATACGACACATATCAACTTCTTATTCTAACCGTATTGTTGGGGCACATGACTCTCGTAAGAGAGGGATCACTCTTACCCTCTTACCAATACGACGGTATTCAGGCGGATTGGTACTAGAGTTTTATAGTCTTGCGCCAGTTTATTTCGGTTAGATTCACTAGTTCTTTTTTTTTGGATGAAAATGAGTTAAGACGGGCTTAAAACCAAAAACATTGAATTCTTACACCTATTGTTCGTTAAGGGACAAATTTAAATACTACAATGGACCTTACCTTAGCACCTAACGCAACAGCACCCAGTGCCACAGCTGTTCCGATTTCTTGACCAGAATACCCCACAGGTATATCAAAAGTATTTTTATAATCTTGTAGTACAGTCAAATTGCAGTCTTCGTAAGGTACGGGATATGCTGATATGCAATGAAGCAAACAGAACTGCTTATGTTGAGCCGATATTATGTCGTAAATGGTTCTCACGGCCTCTTTATCCACCATTCCAGTTGATATAATAAGAGGCACATTTTTTGACGCTGCATACTTGAGGAAAAGTAAATTATTTGAATCGCCAGATCCAATTTTTATAAATGGGACCTTTATATTGACCAGGAAGTCGAAAGACACCTGTAATATAAAATAGTATCCAATTTTAATAATATAGTAACGTGTACAGATGACCGCATGGTTTTTACACAATCATCGATAAACTTGAGTAAGATTATGTACCTACATAGATACCTACCGATTTTACAATCGGTTAGGTCTCTTCTAGATTCTACAATAAAAATTTATTTTTGTTTTACTTTATTGAATCCATATCCTAAGTACTTATATTAAATGTGATTTCAGGAAGCTTACCATGTCCATGGCTGAAGCTGTAAATAGTATGCCGACCTCTTGGGCATACTTAAATAGCTCTCTGTATTGACTCTCCGAAAACTCCAAGTGACTTTTGTGTTCACCATAAGTCTTACCCCATGAGTTAGGTGTATTATATGGTCGTTCTAAATATTTTTTTGTAAATTTTTCTTTGAGACATGTTTTTTGAAATTTGACGCAACTTGCGCCAGCTTCCTGAAAGTAAAATGTCACCATTAAAATGTATATACTTTCAAGTTATACCCATTTATAGACGACTATATATCTACAATTGTAAAGAAATCTCTTTATATGAGGTCAGTAATGGTTTTTTCTTCTTTCTTTAGGTGAGGTTTATACTCACTGCATTAAAAGTATTGGTCTATAGTTCTATACCAATACTTGTAATGCATCACAGTTGTAGAATACAATCGAAGGCACTTAGGCCAATTCTGGTATAATGTAGGTAAGTAGATATAGAAATTTTAAAGGTTTTTTTTTAAATAGCGTCTTATATATACATCTCATGTTTAAGTCACGATGAAATTGTAAAATATGGTATTACTTAGGTAATAATTTTCATATTATTTAAGTCCACAAAGCATTAACATATCTTAACTTCACCATAAATCCGGTCTAATAGTTCCAGTTAGTTTAATTATTTTTCGGTAATTTCTATACATTATATTTAATTATTTAACTAATTATATTTGTTTCCTTTACTAAAACTAGACAGGTTTTGTAAATGAAACAAACAATACATTAGGTACCCATTAAGTAATAGAATTAATCTAATCGCCGCCTTTTTATTTTATTCATAAAGTATAACTAATATTAAAAGACAGTAAAAGACACCTAATAATCATTATCAGCTATAAAATATTGCTTTAATTTTTTGTCTGTGCTACTAAGGGCTTTTTGGGGGCCTTTATCTTTTACGTTAAACAATCATACCACTGCCTTCATATCAATTAGGCTTCAGACAATTAGGTTCAATAGTTTGATATGGTATAAGTACTCAATGAGAATAAAGTGGATGCCTATCAAAATAACCTTCAATGTTAGAATATACTACGCGCTCAATATATATGGTTACTTTAATGGGCATGATTAAACATTGATAGATAAACTAAGTGTATATCCAAACAATAGTTATTAACACATATTTACAATTTATTAACTTAGCTACTTCATATGTAGGTATCTAGATATAGAACACTAAAATAATAATACTTAGGTATCAATATTTTTTATTGTTGTCAGTGAGATAACGGTTGTTTTTGTATTGTGTTAAAGGACATTATCTTGTCGACTTCTTTATTGTTTTTTATTTAAGTACAATACAAACAAACAATGAGGACAGTCTTACCTTTGCTGCTTTTATCAACTTTTTCGCTATTTCAATGTCACCTTGGTGGTTTTGTCCGACTTCCGCAATAATAAAACACGGATTGTTACCGCCAACTTTTATGTCTTCTGTTATTTTAACTTCCACCATCTTCTCAGCTGTTATGATCGTCCCATAAACACAATTAAAGAAAAACCGGCTTTCAACTTGGGTGACGACTATAGTGTCGTAAGAGTTTATCGACCTCACTTTCAAGATCAGATTTGTATAAATAAGGTCAATTTAATGTAAAAACGGGCAGCCGGTTGCGTGCCCGCCGGACTAGTGCGCACTCGCTTCGCCACGGTACCCACTCCACTCCGCATAATAATTGATAAAACCAGTATATGCAGCATGTCATACGACCACGTTCATGATCAGATACATGTTTGTATGGAGGTATGTAAAATTATTGAAATGACACAACAGACGTGCTTGAAAAATATTGTTTATTTGTATAAAGATAGGAATGTAATTTAAATTTTATTGAACCTGTACGTACATATTCATAACACTTTGTAGGTACTTATGCATCACATTGTTTATGTGTATATATACCTATTTAGGTACATTATGATTAGTTAACTTCACAAGCAGCTAGCTTAATAATATCATAGTGATTTTTAAATCTATCTCCTAACGCTCTATTTACTTTAGACTCTGTTGGTTTGCCTAAAAAGTTAGAAATGTAGCGACCTGCTTCGATAAGCTTTACTAAATCTATGTTTGTATTGATTCCCAGACCATACAGGAAGTACACTAGATCTTCTGTGGCCAAATTGCCACTCGCACCACGTGCATATGGACATCCGCCGAGACCAGAAATTGAAGAGTCAACCGTCTTGATATCGAACTGCAAAAACCAGATAGATGATTTTTACGTAAAGTAATTTCAAGAAAAATGGGTGTGTTATTATAATAATATCAAATCCAGTTATTAGTTCAGCTGTTCATAAAGATTATATTGTACAGATTCTCAAATACATACATACACATACGTGTATACTGGAACAAGATAAGGCTTATGATATGAACTTTATCTTTCTACTAATAATACTTCGTATTGTTGACACTTGACAGTTTGATAAATGTAGTTCTAGAAATTCAATAATAATAAAATATGTTGCTAATTGGAACGGACGGTTATGACTTATATTATTGATATTCCATTTTCAATGCGACTTGCAATAAATAACCTAGATTGCCTAATAAAAATATACAATTGTTTATGTTCTTTTTGTAAACGTGTAGATTTTTTTGTTAATCACCGACTATTTACAATCACATCTATCGCTCGGTCTTCAAAGTAGAATACCATGTTATTTGAAGGCACCAAACATCTTCAGATATAATCCCGTATGTAGATACGCAAGCCAATTTAGAAAAGTTCGTATAACATAAATAAAGAACTGGGGATGCGCGTATGGTGAAGAATGAATCATGATGAACTGTAGAGAATTAAGTGATTCTGCTTTATTAATCGACTTCAAAAACTAGGTATCAGTTTGACTGTTTTTTTTTGCGAACATAACACCATATAAATTTTGGAAAAAAGTAATATTGACGAATGTTTGAAACATGTCCTGTTAGTCTCGTACTATATTCGACAACATTTGCATAGGCATTATGAAAAGCATAATCTGGAATTACATGTTCATATACCTCTAGACCAGCTAATAGATTAGACAATCCTTGACCGTAAGTATCGTGGAAGTGTAGAGCAAGCCTGTCAGGTGTTGCCACTTGAAGAACTTCACGTAACAACCGCCGCACAGAACCGGCCGTCCCGACTCCTATTGTATCACCGAGCGACACCTCATAGCAGCCCATTTCCAGTAATTCCTCTGTTATCTAAGTGTAAATATTTTTATATGTTTGTGCAATAGATATAACAGATTGATCATTAATAATAACAATATTATGTTCAGGACAATTCACATAGCGCCATCTAGTCCCAAGCTAAGCAGAGCTTGTGTTATGTGTACTAAACAACTGACAGAAATACTGGAAAACATTTTTTTGGTAATTACATACATAATATACCTACATACCTACACACAAACAATCATACTCACGAATACAACTACTTGTACCGTGCGACCAACGGAAGTAAGGTGGTATGCTGAACCGCTAGACCTCCGAGGCGACTTATATATAGGACTTTAATGCCTAGAAATGCCCTTAGATTGTAATATCCGTCAGGTCCCTGCTAACCTTCAACCTTCAAGGTTGGCCTTCAACCGAAACATAAGTAAATATACTTTTAGGTTGGAGTACGCTCAGCACACAGAGATATGTCCGGTAACCGTGTAAAGTCCAGCCGCGGATAGCACAATGAGAATAGTTGAAAGAAAATATTGTAATATTTTCTAGTCAAGTATTCTATTATTTCTTTACTGCTATGACTGAATATCTAAAGAGCGATATCTAGTCAAGTGTATATTATTCTTGAAATAGATATTAGTCTGTATGACACAATTTTTGCAAGACAAGATTGGAACACCCAATATTTTGACAAGTAGAAAGTTAGCTAGGTAAATTATCATAATCTAGCTGTGCCTGCGGTTTTACCCGCGTGAAATTTATAGCGTATCTGTTATTCTGATGTATAATCTATATTACTGTAGTTTCATCAAAATCAATTCAGTAGGCTTTGCGTGAAAGAGTAACAAAAATCCGTATTAACAAACTTTTGCGTTTATAATATTATTAAGTTAAGGCCATAACTAAATGGTCCTTTTATTTGCAATATAGCCTGATATCCGTGTCCACACGGTTTAGTCTACAAGGCATCGTTATTTAATTACTAGTGTCATCATATGTACAATGTGCTAACTAACCTGACTTCATGGTCATCCTATCCTCCTCCATCCTGTTCCACATCTATCCATTTATAAAAGTACCTTTGCAATAATCTTAGGGCTGATTGGTCCATCATATGGGCAACCCACAACACATGATACATAGCCCCTAACTCTTAAACCATCTTTAATAGCTTGAAGAGCAACTTGCTTGAATCGTTGTAAGCCTTCTTGAACAGAACAGTTCAGGTTCTTCTGGGAGAATCCTTCAGAGCCAGCAGGAAATATGGCAACTTCTTCAACATTGCATTGTTTCTGCAGAACATAAACCTTTCATATATAAGTATTTTGGTGTAATATAGGGTAGTAAATCCCTAACCCACAACACCTTCTTTGTTATATTAAGTATAATTCATTTTCTTCACAGCAAGTAACTCATATATTAGATAGAAAAAAAAAATATTATAAGTTAGTTTAGTAAAATGAAGTGATTTAAATATAATCCATATCTAATTTTATGACTAGCCATGTTATTGAATGTTCTGTACATGTGAAATCATCATGATTTTTCACTGCTGTTTTATCCCACCTCTAATACCCATATTGAATATACTATTACTAGAAATGGGACAGGGGAAACAAAATAAAACAAGCATGGACCGTGCGAAATATGATATGCAAACTAGGATGTAGGGTGTAAAAGGAACTGCACTTATACAGTTCGGTGGAAAAAGGGAGTATGTACCGGAATAAAGGCAAGGTAATGACAATGATTGGTGTGCAAAAGAAAAAAAAATCTTACAGCAATTTCATAGCCTTTTAGATTTGGAACTAGAACTGGATAATTGACACCAGACACTCTATTGAGATTCTTCATTACATCTACACCATCACTCATTTGTTTCACCCATTTTGGGCTTACAAAGCTATTGTAAAAACAACAAGATTATATTTATATACATATAGTTACAAGATTAGTATGGACAAATGAGATCCAAAAAAGACTAAATTAAAATGTGATTAGTGCGGTTCTTTTAGGGGGTGTTCCATAACGAAATAATGGGTCCAGAACAAATATTGTAATTTGGTGGTATTATTATTATATGCTAATTTCTGTAATTAACAAATGTAATTACAATTTCTTTGATGTAGACCCTTCTTATCAAAATATTGAATCTACATTTGTAATTGCTCCTGGGAACATTTGACTTGACAATTTTTCTTTTTATGTGTGCCTACAACTTACCTAAGAATATTTTAAATTTTGATATGTGATAATTATTAACCATTAAGTGTATTTTTTTAAGTGAGTACTATTATAATGAAATTGTTTGTCTGATTCAAAATTCAACTTCATAATAATTTTGCATGTTGATTGTAGTAAAGTTCTAGATGACCAGAATCTTGAGTTTTAACTTTTGTTAAAAAAAGTTCTGCTGAGAACTCTCGTGTTCATAATGACTAGTTGTTACTTGTGACTTATGTTTTTTGTTATATATAAAAGATAGCCTATCTCCTTTTGATGATGCGAATTTATCTTCAGATAAAATTTCATTATGGTTCATACAGCCATTAAGTTAGGAAAAAGTAACAAATACACAGACAACTTCACTTTTCAATTCCTGTAAATAATGAGATAAAATTGTTAATTTTAGTTTTTAATGAAAAAGCATCAAAAATGTGAGAGTCAAGACCTTGCAGATTCTATATTGTTAATTCCAGCTGCAGCAAGTTTATTAATTAGTTCCAGTTTAATATCTGTTGGCACAAATTTAGATTCATTCTGTAATCCATCTCTTGGACCAACTTCATATATTCGTATTTGAGATGCCACCTTACTCTGAAATAAAAAAATAACTATATGTGTAAAACATGCATCCTTTATATTTAAAGACAATAGTTATACTATATTTATTTTTTTAGGTGCGGTTAAAGGTTGTTTGAAGGTTTTCAATTGTATAAAAAATAAATCCAATTCAATCATAAGGTTTACTATTGTAAATATTCAATATTTATAAACAAATGGTCGTTTTATTAAATTAACTAAATAGTTCTATAATAACAACAATAGAAATTTTACATTTTAAATCTTTACTTTTCTATCTATTTACTGTTCAAATATATCAATATTTTACTTATAATAATATAATAAAGAATTGTCCACCATATGGACCACTGTTTGTACATACTGCCAATTATATTAGAAACCTGATATAATAATATTGTTTTCATCAACTCTTGTCATGACTAAATGGCAGAGTTCTGAATGAAGTGAATCCCTATATATTCATATCATCTATAACAATATTATTCTTGGATATAGTAGTTCATTCAGTTTCCTTCACTGTTCCTTTGTAAGCTACTTTGCTCTTTTATCTTTAAATAAAATTTAATTTATTATTGTCTTGTCTCTTATTGGAATGTTTCTTTTTTTTTATTTCATGTGTTTTACCAATATATAACAATATTGAATAATTAACTTCTTTTAAGAATTTAATTTTATTATAAAATCAAGATACAGCTGCGAAATTACTAAACAAAATACTATTATTGTTGAGACAACGTTGGATTACACTAGCCTTCAAGTAGTTTTGCATTTCACTTCCACAGCCATATATGTACAATGAACTTACCGCATTCCGGATAAGGTAACATCTTGTAATAGTACTAACAGAATAATTGTATTTTAAGAAATACATTTTTAAAGAAAATTTCAATAATTGACGTTAGGAAACGATAACTACAAAGTAAATGGAATATACGTGACGATAATTATACTTATCTACATTATTTGTTTTGTTAAACTTATAACAAATATTTAGGTATTTATTAGGTCGCTGTTGTGACAATAAACGACTGACACAAACTATATAGAGATGTTAAAGAATACAAATAATGACAAATATAAATATAAAAAATATCTAATGTATATCAAAGGAATGGAAAATTATACAATAAATATCGATTTTAATGTTACAATAAATTGAATTATTTATTTCATTATGCGACCAAGTGAGTTAATAAAATACAATAACACACTCACAGGCCAAGAAGCCTAAAAATAGTTTCCATTAATTGAAACAAATTTAATTAAATCTACTATTAAGTTAACAAAAACAATCGATTAATTAGTCGGAGATTTTTTCTGTACCCAATGGCACATTGACATTGCCATATGTATAATGTCACAGATTCACATCTCAGATAGTGTTACTAGATGACTGTTTAATTTTCCCAAATTTATTAAATACACCAAAAGTCAGATTTTGAAGAAACTTTCTTTATTTTAATGACAAATTAAAAAAAAAAGATGCTCTAATGTACTATTCTTTATGGGGGGATTTTTCTTCGAACCCTTCATTCTGCATTTATTTATAAGTGTCTGTAACCAGAGCCGTAAAAAAAATAAAACAAATAAATTAGGACACTGATCTGCGGTTATGTCAATAACATTTTTATCGGTTTAATATATGTTATAGGATTTGGTTTAATAGTTTCTTTCAATAAATTTAAGTAATTATAAAATACATCGTTAATAATTTTACATAAACAATGGGTAAAGTATACTTTATGTCTATGAACTAAATTAATTGTGGATTTTCTATGAAAGGCGAAATAATTAATAATTTAACTTATCGTATTTCAGCTGTCAACAGTGCCACATCTTTCGTACTATCTTCGATTTTAGCTCTACTGATATTTTCTGGGATGCAAATGTACAAGCCATTCTTAATTAAATCACCAATCACAATAATATTTGGTGGCTACTTAGGTTCAGTTATGTTTATGTTCTTTGTTACTGTATCCTTTTTAATCAATTTTTTTATACCATAAGTTTATTAAGTTAGTTTATTGCAAGTACTGTTTTTTGAAAAAATGGTATTGTCGGTATCTATCGTTAAACCAGCTTTATCACCATAATATTGATCTCTTATACATTTACAGACATGATAAAGTTTTAACTAGAATATGTGCCAGCAAATGGTAGCAGTAAAACAAATGGATAGCAACTTTTACATTATGTAGGCAAGCGGCTAACATAATAATGGGGTTGTAAAAAGTACGACAAATAGAAGGTTATAAATATAATAAAACTGTATTTATAATTAATAAATTAGTAAGTTCAAATTCCTCAGATTTATAAATGAAGATACCTTAAATTTTTAACCTTGTAATTAATAAGTATATTTGTGGAAATTCTTAATTTAAATTTATATTTTTTCCTTAATTTGGACTACAGGCAGTTGGTAACTTAGAAGCCACTTTGTTTGGCAAGAACTTTCAGCTAAAGTTGACAGAAATAGTATTGTCTATGGCTGTAGCATTGGTAGCCGCGGGCATGGTACACAGAGTGTGCTTCACTACATGGTAAAGTAAAATTAATTTTGTTCACATTCTGTTATCTGTATGACAAGACAAATATTAATTAGAAGTAGTAGTTGACATAGATAATTTTTAAAATTAACAAATAGCTGTTTCACAATAATATTTGTTATCCAATTTATTGTATCTGTATGTATAATAATATTGTACTTGTTATAAATTGTAAATATTACAAATAATTTTTTTTTCATTCCAGTTTAATATTCTCAATAATAACCATTTATTATATGAATAAATTGTCTCAAAAGACATATGCTGCCAGTGTTCCAGCATCAGCCCCAGTCAAGAGCCGACGTCACAAATAAATTGTATAAAATTATATTTTATCAGCAATAAATTTTTTTTTTTTAAATTTAAATACTTTAAACTATGTTTTATTGGAGTATATATATATATATATATATATATATTTTAACAATTTAAATAAATTATTAAAATAAAACTGCAGCATTTAACAAAATGTTAATGTTTATTAAATAAGTAGGTACAGAACACTTATATTAGTATACATGGAAACTAAAAGGTTGCATGCTCTTTGAATATATTTTTAATTATTTAAACATACTTTACTCTTAACTTTTAGAAGACTAATAATCTTAAGAGTTGGTAGTCTATATCTATAAAAATAAATTATGTGTTGCTTTTACTAAATATATGATTTTCTTTTAGAATTCTTACTACCTTACTACATATTTACTATTATATTATTACTTATTTATAGTAAATTATAAATCAAAACATATTAGGTAGTATTTAAAAAAAACTTATTATTAAATATAATACCTAAAAAAATTTACTTTTTTCTAAATCATATAATACAACCAAAGGGGTTGGGGGAAGGAGATTGTTAGTAATGGCGACTAGTGTTTCCATTGCTAGCAATATATTGTACATTAACCTCCACACAGTCATCAAAAAAAACCAATATGGCTAATTCGTGTTGAATTCACCACAATGGGCGGACTTGACTTCATAGATTCTATCATCGTCCACTAGTGTCCCGACAGTGTACTCTTGCACAAACCCTTAAACAAAAATTACAACTTTGTTCTGTGCATTTGAACCTTTAAAAAAAAAGAATTGTAAATAACATTAACATCCTATACCAAGGCATAGGATGATTGATATCACAACTAGACTAAACTATGACACTTAAATAACATGTAAGCAATTTATTTAAACCCTGTGATAATTGCGATTAAAATATTTAACTGTAAATGTTCAATATCTGATATTACATAAACTATATAATTTTAAATAAAGTAAAACTTTGCACTAAATTCCTTCTATAATATAGTAACCCAGGCATTCTGTAGCTTTTAATTCATCCTGCAAGTAAATTACTATGATTTGTAAATATATAACATTATTATTTTGTTCTCTTTGACTATAACATGTAATTTCTATAGATATTGGTTACATTGGATTCTTTAATCCCTGCCAACCATATGAGTAAGACATATATATGACTCTTGCAAGATTATACTAATAACAACTATATGTTATTATTATTAGTTGGTACTCAGTAGCTGGCAGTTCCATTAAATATTATCTCTCTGTATATAGCCTACCTACATTTCATATATATATATATATATGTAAACAATGAGATTTTCCAAATGTTAAGCTTCATTACTTCCCAACTTCCTAAACTTAACTATTACTATGTAAGTAAATAAATAGTAAGTTAGGAGTATTGCATATTACGTATAATATAAAAGACTTTAGATAATTAAATAATATGAGTCATATTATATGACATATAGCTTGTATGTCATCACCTCCTATCTACCTATCAATATTTATTTCTCTTTCACTTATCAAAATATCAAGGCCATTTTACAATTTAAATAAAAAAAAAATTCTGAGTGTATCTATACGATGCGGGACAAAAGTTTGGCACATATTTATATAATATACTTATTTATAATATATTAAGTATATATTCTTACAATAAATATGCATTATGTTGGGTCAGACCAATATTTCACTTAATTGTAAGTTGTGTCTACAATAATTTGTACAAACAGGGCCTATTACAAATGTTTAAAATGATAATGAAATCCTGATAGAAATTTGAAACCAATTTGCATAAATTTACTTAAATTTTAACCAATTTTTATCACAGATACATACATATACATAAGGCACAACATTTAGAATATTAAATAGATTGTTATTCATTTTAATGTGACGAAAGTCAAGAATATTATACCATTAGCTTGACATTATAGCACTATTACTTTCAACATATTACTTTCTCCATGGATTTTTAAGTTTATGAAAGTATTAAAGTAAATTAAGAAACAAAATGTAACAACTAAAGTGATTTACATAAGTGTTAAATTCATATCAGTATGGTCGCAAACATGATAATAAAACTAATACAGAAATACCAAACAAGCTGTGTCTGATCCTTTCACTGCATAAATGTATAACAGTTAGAAATGTTGAGATGGCATACTTTTTTCTATGCTAAATATGTTCAAATTAAACCCTAAGATTCTTAAATAGTGTAATTAACAATTTTTTTCTAATGCACTGTAACATTTTCAGTAAAGCCATTTTCTGCATTTAAAAGAAATGGAAAAAAGTATTCAATAATGAAATTTGTTAATAGGTCTTAACTTTTAGTACTAAAAGGGAATTAGTTACCAAGTGCTTTCCCTGTGATTATGATATGCATGCACACATACTGAGAGAAAAAAATCTATATACAGTTGTAGTACATATTGTCATTGGAAATACTAATTGACATAGCCAGAAAAATAATATGCTACTACCTGATTTAGTCATTTCTTGTAACCAAAATAATTGTGGCTATTAAGTCATGAAACTAAAAAAGTCCTTGACTAATTTGCCACACATAACTGAGAGAGAAAATTGATTATATAATTCTTTACAAATAATTATAATAGAAATAATAATAAGTTTTAATATAAATATATATAGGTAAGAACCGAGTTATTTACATTCTCAAAACATATATGTAATTATTAACTTTGAAATTTGGTAATGGCATTAACATATGAAATATAATAAATAATGTTATGGTTATATCAATTAGAGTTTCTAACATGGTATATAAATTAATAATTTTACCAAATATCGGAACAGTCATGCCAAATTATCATTAACAATGTCATCCTTTAACTGGATAATTTGTACCCAATCAAGTACATCACTTATTTCTGATGTGCATACTGTTATTTCTATGGTATGGATTTTGTAGAATCCTAGGTGTTGTCTCCATCACCCTAAGTAAAAGTTCATCTAAATAGTTTTCCAAGTCTTTGTTTTTCTTCTTTTCTATTTCTGCATCCTTTTGTAAATGATGGATAAGGACAATTAGATCTTCCCGTGACTTGCCATCAAACTGTTGTAACACTGACTTAGGAATGCTGTTGTATGCTGGATTAATTGAATCTTCTTCAACAATATTTTCCTCACCAACTATAATACGTTCCTCTAATAATTTCTTTGATTTATTATTGCTTCCAAATTTCTTAAAGAATTTAGGACTTGGTTTTTCTTTTAAAGAACTAGGACTATCAAGTTTATTATTCCTTTCCAAACTTGATGATTTCTCTCTCTCAATTGTGCTTTGGCTGTTGGATTTAGGACGGGAATATAATTTCTGAGACCATTCATCATTCTTGTCAATCACTTGCGTTGGTGCTTGTGGTGGTGTGAAAGTGTCCAAACTTAGTCGTACTGGTTTTTGTGGCACTGACTTATCAGAATTAGCCAAGTTGCTACTTGTTGATCTTCTCAAGAACTCTCCACCTCCTAAATTTTCTAATGATGCATTTACTGGTGATGGAGTATACTTATATCCTCTGGGCAAGTATGAGTGGACATTCAGTGAACTTGCTGAGCTCTTGTGGGATAGATCATCAAAAGCAAATTCATCTTCGTCTTCACTGATTACACCGGGATCAGCTTCTTCATGTAGCCTTTTAGGTGTAGAGTGATCTGTTGTGGATATTACTGGGTTCTTGAGATTTCCAATACTCCCACTAAGAGAGGATGAATCATTCTTTTTATCCTTCTTATTTAAATTAATTTTAGATCCAAGATTTTTGGCAAATTTCTTCAGACTTTTCCGTTTTTCGATACTGCCAATACTCATGAGACTGCCACCAACGTTTTGGGCAATACTAGATAAGGACGATTTGTGTTTATCTTTCTTACTTAGATCATTTAGGCTACCTTCTTTGACAGTGAAACCAATCTTCACCTCTAATTCGCCTCTTTTCTTATCATTTTCTTTACCTGGTTTACCCTGTAGAGTGTACCAACGGTTTCTTGGCCTCTCGTAAACATCGAGGTCTTTTAACGGAATCGATACTTGACCTAATAAATGGTCTTTAACAATGTCTTCGTCCCAGACTTTCAAAACAATTTCAGCGGTATTTCCTTGTGTTGGAATAGGTAAATCACACTCCTCTTGCCAATCGACATTTTCAGTAGCTTTATGTTTCACGGATGTTTGGAATTTCTGCTTGCCAAGAGCAATAGTCACAAAACACTTATTTGTTCCGTTTTTCCCTTTAATTAAAAGTCCACGAGCTTTTTGAACAGTAACTTGTACGTGAGTTGGATCCCACATTGTGAATATTTGATCTTATTTGAGCACAACGCACTGAAATATGAGAAAATTAAGAAGGTAGTTTTTGAACCATCTAATCGTAAATACAATTTTGGATTTGGACACGATTATGATGATATGAATCATGGACGGACTATGAATGACATGCACAGAGTAGTACGACTTCTGACATGATAGCGCCAGCGTTGCCAGATTGTGTTACTTTCTCCCCAAATTTTATCAACATCCCCCATAAATTTAGTAGAAAAATCTCCTAAACGAAATATTTTTCAATTACAATAAATAAATGAGTTCTAATAAAACATTTTTTTTACTTACGGTGGTTTTTTCATACTTATGAAGGGAAGGTATTTTAATGTTCCATTTGTATTATGTTCCATTTGTAGTATGTTCCATTTGTATATAATACACCGGCTCATAACTGTCTTATATTATTCGTCTGTTCTTTATGATCTTCTTCATTTAGTTTTCTTTTTCTTTAATTTAGTAAGACAAGAATTCCCATTTCAATTTCTTTACGACACTATTTTTATACGACATTTTCGCTCTTCCGTCTTAAATACGTGTACATATGTATTCATCATTTTATAGGATTATATAGGTAAGATTATAGTCTACGGAAATTTAGTATTTTTCTTTGCATTCTACATTTTCGAGACCAAAACTTAATACTTACTCTATTTTTAGTTTGAATATATACCGGAATATACGGCAATATTTGAAATAATATTAAGTAATGAAAATAATTAAAGTATAATTTGTGATTATTAAAATATGTAACAATGAGAGCGTTATGGCCTAGTAGTTTACTATCCTGAACTACGTCCATAATGTTGTAAGTTCAAATGTTGCGTTCACCAAAACATCCAGTTGATAATGCCTCTGACCTTGAAAGTAGTTTTAGTATATATAATTATTATAGGTATACATGGTACATTAGATATTGAATCCAATAAGTACCTACATTAGGTATCGAATCGGATGTGTTTCATTAGGCCTAATTGTTCCAATTTATGGAAAAGCATAGCACAATAGAGGACTAAAAACCCTGTTTACTATATTTCATTGTTTAAAAAAAACAAACATACTCATATACCTACCTACAGTGCCTATGGTTTAGTGGACACATTCATTAATACCATTAGTACGTAGTACATTTTATTTGTAAGTGCCTATTATTTCAGTTTATTTTCGACTTCGTTCGCGTGACTGGAACATATTGATCGGGATAAAAACTACCTACCCAGTATGCTTTTCTCCATATAAACATACCTATTTACTACCACTCTTATTAAAAATACCTCAAATGTCTAATACAAGTAGACTGGGGGAAGGCATTGTTAGTAACGGGAAATGGCGACCCAACTGCTATTTTTTTATAATGAGTAAAAATGGAATGGTGCTCTCACCTGGGCAAACGGTTTACGCTGGTGGATTACAGTGGCGGAAGGTATGAGATCAGTTTAGTTAGCATATCGTAGCAAATTCTTGAGGAATTTATCACGATCACGGTTTGCAGTGGGGTTCCCTCTGCAAACCATCGTGATAAATTCTTGCTTGCTTTTCTGGATTGCTTGGAGGTTAACCTGACATAGAACATTGCTAGCAATTAAATCATTAGGCTTCATAACTAACAATCCTCTTCTATCACTGCGAATAATTTTCCATGTTAGGTCGACTTCCACGTGGTCCATAGTCCACCATTCCATATATATATTCGAAAAATAAAAAATAGCCATCTATCTGCGCTGCAGACAATGATTACAAGGCAGATAATAAATTGGTGCTGATCAAATAGAATTTATTGTTTGATTGGAATTATTTCGGATTTTATATAAGATTTTTCAAATATTTGTATTTCATTTCCAGTGTTAATTATATTATGACAGCAAAATATGGACCTTGTTGATTCAGAAATAATACATTTTAATAATGCTGAGAACAAACGTTTAAATTTATTTATAAGATAAGACTGTTGATTTTTTTTATATAAATAAAGTAAAGGCGTAGCAATATTATTTGTACGTAAAAGTGGTTAAAGTTAATATTAGTGATAAAAATAACTAACTATATAAATAAGAGCGATATTGCCATTAATATTTAAATAACATATTTTATACACTTATAAAATAGGATAAAAAAAATAAATTTATTACGAAGGTAGGTACTAAAGTTTCACGAGTAGCTCCAATATAGTGTATTCAATAAATTACAATGTGTCAATTAGACCAGGAACATTGCGATGTCAACAAAATAAAGTACATTGTCGCATCCCAGGAATTAATTGAACTATCAGTTAATGTCCATCCGATCATCCGCCTGATTACAGACAATTATGTCAATAGGACCAAATTTGGGATATTGTAGGTACTTACTACTAGGTATATATTAGGTATATGCTAACTAATATGTATATCTATTTAATATGATGAAATATTTCTCTTTCTTACCGATTTCTAAAACTACGAGGTTTAGTGTCGATAATTTCGAACTTTTGATCTTTTAGAAAGTTTTGATTTCGAGGTTGTTTTGTTGTGGAGTGTGGAGTTTTTGTAACAGATGATACTTATGTATTTAATGTATGAGTTTTATAGGCTGTTTTTACCAAAGTAAGTAATATACCCAAGTACCTAGGCACTTATCTTATTAATATCTATTATATTCTCAGAAGTTCATGGACGGATGAATATTTCTTAGGTACTCTTTCTGGAAAAAACTACTGAATGAATTTTAATAAAACTTTACAAAAATATAATTTATACATCAGAATAACACATAGGCTATATTTCATGTGGGGAAACCACGGGTACAGCTAGTTATTGATAAACATGACTCATACTTAAACTAGTGGTTGCCTAATGGTCGAAATTCCACGATAATAATTAATATAAATTATGGTTATGTGAAATATTCAGTAGCGCTGTAGACAAATAATAATTTAAATTCTATTAGACATATATTATTAACATTGATTCAATTTATTTTATGCATAATTTGAAAAAATGTTATTCTATATCATTATTACATACATAGTATAAAACAAAGTCGCTGTCGCTGTCTGTCCTTATGTATGCTTAAATCTTTAAAATTACGCAAAGGATTTTGATGAGGTTTTTTTAAATAAATAGAGTGATTCAAGAGGAAGTTTTATATATATAATACATGTATACCCGTGCGAAGCCGGGGCGAGTAGCTAGTAAATTATAAGTATGTTTCCTAACTTTCCGTCTGAGCAAGTTTCCTATTAATGTAATAATTACTTACATTATTAATTGTTATTATTATATTCCCATGTAAACTGAAAAAAATATATACCCACACGTGATACCATAGTCAAACAAACAATCATGTGGACGCGAAATATTTGTAATATATATGAAGGTAATATAATTTTTTAAATAAATTTCAAACATCTGTTATATCACAATCACTGAGCATAGTCTATTATTCACTCAACGAATACTTAAATGACAAACGTGCATGCCAATAGGTGCTCATACACGGGATTTTCATTAATGTTAGAAATAAACACCTATATAAATGTACAATGTAAAAATACTAACTTTAAAAAAAAAAGGAAATTCAGTTGAGTATCTCAACAGTTCTTGTCAATTGATTCTGTATACTGAACTAGATGGTAGGGAGAAAAATATTAATATAAAAACTTGACGTTCATTAGCGGCTAAAATGTCCTAGATAAATATATTTTTTGATTTGATTTGCTTTCTCTTTCTTTAATATAAAAAAAATTATCGTATCTAAGAAATACGTCCGCAAAGAGACTTGTTCCATAAACTAATTTAGTTTAATGCTAAAATATTAAGAGAAGTGCTTAGATACGTCTTCCACGTAGTAGGATACGTGTTCTGTAAAATAATACGCGCAGGACACCAATAGCACTTCATACATTTGTTACAATGGTAAAAGAATACATGCCCTGTTTCTTTAATATATCTACATAATCTGGGTGTCTAAAATACTCACTTTAATGCATGAAATCTTAAAACTAATAAAGTACCCTTAGAGAAGTCATTGCTACATTTTATTAAACAGCTTATTTCAAGATATGGACAATTTTCATCGAGAGGTCAATTGACGAATTGGACTCAGTGCCGCTCCAACTAGGCAGTTAGGTAGTCTTCGAGATACTATATCATGCAAAATACCTCACTCAAAAAGAACAATCTTTGGAGTTTTCTTTAGCACCGCTACTCGCAGTAGAACTCAAAAAGATCGATTTATTGACAAGTTGGACTAACAACGAGCTAGCCTAATCTAGTAACGAATGGCGATTAAAGCTGATTATTAGCCTAATTTAACAATGAATTGAAAATATAGCTAATTATTAGGAGTGCTGTGCATGTAGCGATGTTAATTCAAAGTGACGATTTTAACCCGTAATTTTACACAACCCAAAGGAAAATATAGGTGCAGAGAGGTAGGTCAATGAAATACGCACTCTTGAATATTTTAGTAGAACACTGAGATTTAAGTTACGTTGGGTTCGTCCAACGAGTACAAGGTATCTCGTAACAGTACCCCAAATATTTTAAGAGCTCTGGAGACAATGAAACGCAAACACAGATTTTAGTAGAATGAATCCATTTCGATCGTTTCTTCGTTTGACAGTTTTACTTACAGATATAGAAATAAACTATGCTTTGTTGTAGGTGCTTGACGTGTCATTTGAATATATAAGCCAAAGACGTTTAAAATATTAACTGTATTCTCCTAATGTTAAACAGGGTTTTTGACAATATTTTTATCTCTATGCCTGCCTGGCGTAATATTTTATTATGTCTTTTAAAAAAGATTATTAAAGCGCACTGTATTTTTATTCATCATAAAACTTTCTAATATTATATGCTTATATTATTACTACTAATTGCTGCATGAGTAATGATTAACCTAATATGTTATTTGAATTTGTTACAAATAACGGACATATTATATAACAGACAAGGAACAGTCCTTGTTCATTTTGTTTCATACCCAATTTAAATATACACTTTAGTTTAAGTTTTAACACCTTATTACTGTAGTCCATAACACCATAGACCTCGTTCCCAATTGGACTTTGTAAATAAATAAAGAATGCATTTGATACTGGCATGAACTGGGAATTTAA